AAGGCGGTGGTGCCAAAGGAGGGTCTGGTGCGACAAGGCGCGACACGACCAGGGGGCCGACAACTGACCTGACGCAGATGCAGACGCAGCTACCTGAGGGGACTCAGTGGTCAGTGTGTACAGGCCCGACCCCGGCTGCCGAGTGAAGGTAGCCAGGTGACGACCCGTCTGAGCACACGTGCAGTGTGTCACACGCTCGTAGGCAGGGGTGAACTGGTGAACACCCGCATCCTGGAGCGCGGAACCCGCCACCAAGTTCGTAGAGAACGAGGGGAGTTAAAGACCCGACAGTGTGCCGGACGGGACAGCAGGACAAGGGAGGACAGTGGAGGAGGTCGCACGGACTGGACCCCCAGAGGGGTCTGCCAGGGAGACTGGAACCGGCCGACTGAGCGGCGTGAGGGTGGTGCTGTCGCGAAAGAAAGAGCGAGAGGCACCGGAGTCAAGTGTGAAGGTGTACAAGGCCTCAGTAGGCGCAGTACCAGAGAGGGCAGACTCACCAGTACCTAGAGCAGCAGCCTCTATACCTGGGTCAGGTGGTACGCACAGGTAACAGGCACACTCGGCACTAGTAGGCAATGCATACATGGCAGTGAGAATAGCATCATAGTCAAGAGCAAAGATATCTACCCTCTGTCCAAGCAGCTCCAGCCAGGTGGGGAGCTCAGCCTCGTCGCCAAACTCGGTACGCCAGGCGTCGCTCAGACGGGCGAAGCAGCGGGACTGTGTGTGACCAGGCGTCCCGCAAGGCTGACCAGTCCGATCACCTGTGCGAATGACGTACGGGCAGCGAACTGGACTCAAATACCCTCTACTCTGAGCGTACCACTCGTGAAGCTGCCGGGACGTAAGTGTCTCTCGCGAACGCCGCTGCAGCTGCGGCTGGCCACTTCCAGACGCTCCCAACGGACCAGCTCCAGGGCTACAGCCACGACGGCTACTGCCACAACCCCAACTACCGTACCACTCACGAAGCTGCTGGGGCGTGAGAGACTCGCGCGGGCGGCGCTAGAGCTGCATCGCAGCAGTAGCAGCAGCAGCAGCCTAGCAGCAGTAACAGAAGTAGCGGCAGCAGTAGCAGTAGCAGCGCGGGCAGGCAGGCAGGCCGACAGGCAGGCAGGCAGGCCGGCAGGCAGGCAGGCAGGCAGACAGGCAGGCATGCAGGCAGGCCTGCAGGCAGGCAGGCAGGCGGGCAGGGCAGGCGCGGCAGGCAGGCAGACAGGCAGTGCGCTAACAAGGCAGGTGCTCACCAGTGGCGGAAAGAGTAGGCGCTCGTCGGGCGAGCAGGGCCGGCGCTCGGCGGGCGGCTGCACGGGGTCCAGGGGCGGCTGCACGGAGTCCAGGGGCGGCTGCACCAGGGGCGGCTGCTTCAGGGGCCAGGGGCGGCTGCTCTGGGTCCAGGGGCGGCTGCTCAAGGGTCGAGGGGCGGCTGCACCAGGGGCGGCTGCTGCAGGGGCCAGGGGCGGCTGCTCAGGGTCCAGGGGCGGCTGCACCAGGGGCGGCTGCTGTAGGAGCCAGGGGCGGCTGCTTTGGGTCCAGGGGCGGCTGCTCGAGGGTCTAGGGGCGGCTGCACCAGGGGCGGCTGCTTCAGGGGCCAGGGGCGGCTGCTGCAGGTGCCAGGGGCGGCTGCTCTGGGTCCAGGGGCGGCTGCACCAGGGGCGGCTGCTGCAGGGGCCAGGGGCGGCTGCTCTCGGTCCAGGGGCGGCTGCTCAGATTCCAGGGGCGGCTGCTGCAGGAGCCAGGGGCGGCTGCTCTGGGGGCGACGTTGGGGCAGGGCGAGGCCGCAATAGCGGGTAGAGCTCGGCACGAGGGCCGTAGGGGTGCGCGAGGTCGGGGCCGAGCCGCGCGCTGCCAAAAAGGGGCGGCGCGGCGGGCAGGGACGGGCGGCTCGCGGGCCCTACAGGTGCGCGACGGGCCAGGCGAGGTCGCGCGCTGCCAGCAGGGCAGCGCGACTGGCTCCCGTGGGCGGCGCGAAGGCCCTAAGGCGACGCGACGGGCGGGGCCGGGCCCAAGGGCGGCGTGACGAGAAAAAACGAAGAAAAAATGAAAATAAACGCGCGTCGCGCGGCCAGCAGGGCGGCGCGACTGGTGGGGCAGCTCGACAGGCAGGGGAAACTTAAAAAAAATAAAAAAGAGGTAACGGTGGGCCCACTAGGAAACTAGGTCCTAAGACCTAAGTGCTCTTAATACCATGTTAGAGTAGGGTGGTAGGGATGATGCAACTATCGAGAAGGTTTGGTACAAAAGTGAAACCTAAGGGGTTGTACCCCACAGTGAGTACCCCACTAAAGGCTACCTAAACTATAACATATAAACATATGTTTGACACACCGACGAACATCCCAGCATCCCGCCTCGCCCGCGCGACGACGACGACGATGACAGTGATGACGACCCCACGCCAGGACCATCACGGCGCCAAGCAGAGCCAAGCACCGCAGCACCCGGCTATGAAAGCGGAGACGACGACGTGGTGGAAGTTCCCACCACCACAGATACCACCAACGTGTCAGGCCTTCAACTTCTCGGCCTGCACACATCCGTCTCTACTCTTGCACGGGCCGTGGAGCCAAAGAATCCTCGCCAGGCCCTAACCGGCCCTCACGCCAAGGAGTGGCGTGCTGCGATGGATGCGGAGCTAAAGGCGCTGGAATCTCGTGACACCTGGGTCCTAGTCGATCGTGCAGCAGTGAAGGGGAGGAGGGTACTCAGCGGAAAGTGGGTTTTTCGCTTGAAAACTAACGCTGACGGCACTATCGAGCGCTTCAAGGCACGCTGGGTCGTACGCGGGTACGATCAGCGCCACGGCATCGACTTTGACCAGACCTTCGCTCCCGTCAGTCGTCACACCTCAGTCCGGATCCTACTCGCCATTGCCGCCGCTAAGCACCTGCCACTGCGACAGATCGACGTGAAGAACGCGTTCTTATACGCGTTGGTGGACGCCACCATCTTTATGGAGCAGCCACACACATACGGAGAAGGTGATCCTAGGGTCTGTCAACTGAAGAAGTCCCTCTACGGGATCAAGCAGGCGCCTCGCCTCTGGCAACAGCACCTGCACAAAATCCTCCTCGAAATCGGTTTCAAGCAGCTCCCACACGACCCGGGAATGTATCGCCTTCACTTCAGTGGCGACTACATCCTTCTGACAGTCTACGTCGACGACCTGCTGTACACGGGCACCTGCAACCAACTCCTGGATCAGTTTCAGGAGAACCTAGCGCAGCGCGTGGATATCACCATCAACCTCGAAGTAAAGCAGTTTTTGGGGTTAAACATTACATACGCGCCAGAAGCAATTCATCTGTCAGCCTCCAAGTACGCAGAGCAGATGGGGGAACGCTTCAACATCTCTCCCGCACCACTCACAACTCCTTACCGCAACCCCAGCACCAACTACAAACCTGACAACAAACCACTGTCACCCGAAGGACTCCAACTGTACCAGCAGCAACTGGGTTGCCTGCTGTTCGCCTCTGTCACCTGCCGACCCGACCTTTCGTACATCGCTAGCCGACTGGCGCAGTATTCTCGCAAGCCAGAAGCTGAGAACCAGCTGGACCTGGAACGCGCCCTGCAGTACTTCATCTCCACACCTGACATTGGGCTCTCTTACTCCACGCTGACGACGACCTCCTTCAACCTCAACGACTACGTGGACGCAGATCATGCAGCTGATCCCGCAAATCGACGGTCCCGAACCAGCTTCGTTTTCCGTCTGGAACCAACTCGGCCAATCTCCTGGAATTCGCAGAAGCAGGAGCTGGTTGCCCTGTCATCGGCTGAAGCAGAATACATCGCCGCGACAGCAGCAGTTCGCGAAGGCCTGTACCTGCAGGAGCTGCTACAGGAGGCGAAAATTCCAACCTCGCGTACCTTTCGCCTTCACTGCGACAACCAGAGTGCCATCAGGATTGCGAACAAGCCAGGTTTCGTAAACCGCACGAAGCACATCGCACTTCGGTACTTTTTCGTCAAGGACGAAATTGACCAAGGAAAAGTTGACCTCGCCTACTGCCCGACTACTGAGATGGCGGCAGACTTCCTCACCAAGCGCCTGCCACGTCAGCAGTACAAGCACTGCTCTGACCTCACCGGAGTGGTCAAGCGAGTCAGCTCCTCCTGCGCCCAGGAATGAAGGGGAGTGTTACGATATGAAGTTTTATGAGAAGGCATTCCTGTATGCTGCAGGAGCCGACTCTACCGAGTACGAAGTCGAGGAGTCAGAAGAGTCGAAGCGACGCAGCAACCGTCTGACCAAGACCGATGCAGGCAGAAACATTTGAAATGAAAAGAGCGGGAACAGGTTCAAAACGGGTTCCCGCGCCACACGGTTTAAATTTGCTGTAATAAGGGAATATACCCCTTAGAGTACATGGCTAGTCTAGGTCTTTTCGTATTCCCTTGTATTATTATATAAACTCGATGTATGCATGCTATTATCAACTCAGTCATTTACATTCACTCTGACCTGAGATTCAAACTTCCGCTGCAACACTACCCTGCGATCAACCCTGAGCGATCCTTCGCTAACTCCCACTTGGGATTGTAACACCATTGTCCCTTCAATGCAATCCTAGCTTGAAATTGCAGAAATATCAATGGCAAAAGGAAGAATTTCAGTTTCCACCGCCTTAAAGCAACAGTATACTTTCACAAAACAAACAGTACTTTCAAATGTATACTGCTGCTTTAAAGCCCGAGGTCAGCATGGTTTTTTGGAAAATCGAATAATGGCTTTAACATGGTTGGCGAAAGCCAAAAAACGTAGCGAGAGCCAAACCAGCTAACGAGCAAACCTTGAATTCGTCACTCAACTGTGCGACAGGCTTCTCCAAGAATATGGGAAGAGAAGCCTCGAGCCCCTGAAAATGCCACACTGAAGGGCGAAATTGTGAGAGGCCCACTCTCGAGAAGGGGAATCCCCTAGCGATGCAGGGCGACAACGCCAGAGACGCTCGCGACTTGGGTTTAGGGCATCGCAGCCAATCAGCCCTCTAGAAATGCATCTGTGCAATCGAATCGCAGGGCGCGACGTGAGCAGAAAAACGAAAACACAGGGTGTTGCGCTCGGTGTAAATGGATTGGCGCGATCACATGTGGTAGGTAGAAACAGGGAAGCAGCCGCAAATGCGACACGATAGCTCCAGCCACGTAATGCTACGTGCCTGATGGTGCTCAGGAGGAACTGGTAGGTCCCTCGACTACCAGCAATGCTTGTCCTTCGGCAGGTGATACAACAATAAAGCTAAGCGTGCACGTGAGACCGCGGCGCAGGAGAAGTCAACGTAATTCCCAGATTAATGCAACGTTTAGCCTGAACGTGGCACGTACGGAAAGCACGAAGGATGCCGGTTGTTGAGTTTGAGAGAGAAGCATCAGTGGGAGCGTACCCACATGGCAGCAAGGTGTCGAGCGGAAAGGCCTACTCTCTCTCTACGATCTCAAAGAAAACATAGGGGAAGACGGAGTATCTGTGAGGAAAACATTCAGTGGAACTTACGAACGCGATTGAATACCCCAACGCCTCCAACTACGACGATAGTGCGCAGGACCAAATCGACAATACGCATGCGATTGCGGTAGGAGGGAGGTAACGGCGAGCGCCAGGGAGAAGACTAAGAGAGGATCTCAGATTTATAGGGCGACGAGCTGCACTACGAGCGTGACGCAATTAGAATCGGTAAGAGGGTGGCAACGGGAAAATAGATTACTATAGTCACCAGATCAAGCGTCTTCATTGACACGACGTGTCTTGAGATTCCGCAGCACAAACAGCTCTCGTTGCAATACCCCGCGTGTTTCACTGCGGAGTTTCCGGTCCACCGATTCGGCACTGACAAAACTCAGACCGATACATGTGCAGGGGACGGGGGGAAGCAGGGAAGGGGACATGGGGAAGCAGGGAAAGGGACACAGGGAAGCACGGAAGGGGATGGGGGGATGAAGGGCAGGGGATGGGGGGAAGCAGGGAAGGGGATGGGGGGAAGCAGGGAAAGGGACATGGGGAAGCAGGGAAGGGGATGGGGGGAGGAAGGGAAGACACATGGGAAAGCAGGGAAGGGGATGGAGGGAAGCAGGGAAGAGGATGGGGGGAAGCTTGTAAAGGGACATGGGGAAGCAGGGAAGGGGATGGGGGGAGGAAGGGAAAGGGACACGGGGAAGCAGGGGAGGGGATGGGGGGGAGCAGGGAAGGGGATGGGGGGAAGCAGGGAAAGGGACACGGGGAAGCAGGGAAGGGGATGGGGGGAGGAAGGGAAGGGGATGGGGGGAAGCAGGGAAAGGGACACGGGGAAGCAGGGAAGGGGACATGGGGAAGGCGGGACGGGGATGGGGGGAAAATAAGGGAAGGGGATGGGAGGAAGAAGGGAAGGAGATAGGGGGAAGCAGGGAAAGGGACACGGGGAAGCAGGGAAGGGGATGGGGGGAAGCAGGGAAAGGGACACGGGGAAGCAGGGAAGGGGATGGGGGGAAGCAGGGAAGGGGACGGGGGGAAGCAGGGAAGGGGACATGGGGAAGCAGGGAAAGGGACACGGGGAAGCACGGAAGGGGATGGGGGGATGAAGGGCAGGGGATGGGGGGAAGCAGGGAAGGGGATGGGGGGAAGCAGGGAAAGGGACATGGGGAAGCAGGGAAGGGGATGGGGGGAGGAAGGGAAGACACATGGGAAAGCAGGGAAGGGGAGGGAAGCAGGGAAGAGGATGGGGGGAAGCTTGTAAAGGGACATGGGGAAGCAGGGAAGGGGATGGGGGGAGGAAGGGAAAGGGACACGGGGAAGCAGGGGAGGGGATGGGGGGGAGCAGGGAAGGGGATGGGGGGAAGCAGGGAAAGGGACACGGGGAAGCAGGGAAGGGGATGGGGGGAGGAAGGGAAGGGGACATGGGAAAGCAGGGAAGGGGGAATGGGGAAGCAGGGAAGGGGATGGGGGGAGGAAGGGAAGACACATGGGAAAGCAGGGAAGGGGATGGATGGAAGCAAGGAAGAGGATGGGGGGAAGCTTGTAAAGGGACATGGGGAAGCAGGGAAGGGGATGGGGGGAGGAAGGGAAGACACATGGGAAAGCAGGGAAGGGGATGAAGGGAAGCAAGGAAGAGGATGGGGGGAAGCTTGTAAAGGGACATGGGGAAGCAGGGAAGGGGATGGGGGGAGGAAGGGAAAGGGACACGGGGAAGCAGGGAAGGGGATGGGGGGAAGCAGGGAAGGGGATGGGGGGAAGCAGGGAAAGGGACATGGGGAAGCAGGGAAGGGGATGGGGGGAGGAAGGGAAGGGGACATGGGGAAGCAGGGAAGGGGATGGGGGGAACATAAAGGAAGGGGATGGGGGGAAGAAGGGAAGGGGATGGGGGGAAGCAGGGAAGGGGATGGGGGGAGGAAGGGAAGACACATGGGAAAGCAGGGAAGGGGATGGAGGGAAGCAGGGAAGAGGATGGGGGGAAGCTTGTAAAGGGACATGGGGAAGCAGGGAAGGGGATGGGGGGAGGAAGGGAAAGGGACACGGGGAAGCAGGGAAGGGGATGGGGGGAAGCAGGGAAAGGGACACGGGGAAGCAGGGAAGGGGATTGGGGGAGGAAGGCCAAAGGTGGTGTGGGGAAGGAGAGAGGTAAGCGGTGTGGTGGTGAAAGGCGATCATTAGGGGAAGGGCCACCGTGTGTGTTGGTTGGAAAGGGGGCGTGACTGGCCCAAATGAGGTGGGAAGGGAGATGGGAGGGATGGCGACAGTGACGGAAGTGCCAGGGCGACGAGGGGAGAGAGATACGGGGATTGCGAGGGGACGAGCAGGAGGGAGGGCGATGAGCAGCAGGGAGCGCGACGAGACAAAGGGGGGCAACGGGCGGAAGGGAGCGCGACGAGGGGAAGGTAGGGCGGCGGGTGGTCGGGAGGGCAATGGGAGGAAGGGAGGGCGACGAGACGAAGGGAGGGTGACGGGCGGAAGGGATGGCGACGGCGGAAGGGAGGGCGACGGGCGGAAGGGAGGGCGACGGGCGGAAGGCATGGCGACGAGCGACGGGCGGAATCTATGGCGACGGCGGAAGGGAGGGCGACGGGCGGAAGGGAGGGCGACGGGCGGAAGGGAAGGTGACGGGCGACGGGCGGAAGGGATGGCGACGGCGGAAGTGAGTGCGACGGGCGGAAGGGAAGGTGACGGGCGGAAGGGAGCGTCGGCGGAAGTGAGTGCGACGTGCGCTAGGGAGAGCGACGGGCAGTAGGGCGACGGCGGGAGGGAGTTTGATGGGCGTAAGAGAGTGCGACGTGCGGAAGGGAGTGCAGGCGTGCGGAAGGGAGTGCGACGGGCGGAAGCGGGTGCGTGGAACGTACATGTGAGTCGAGCGCCCGATCCGTGCGCTTGATCCGTGCGCTTCGAACGTACTTGCGAGCGCCATCGTCCCTGTAGAATTGGGGCGTGACATGACGTTTTTCTTTAGGCTGGCTAATTTTATTTTTGTTGGAGCGAAAAACCAACAGACTGCTGCAAGGATATAGACATCTCGCTGCCATTGTCTAAAAGAGATACTACGGGCTCTTGTGGTCCTGAACAGCGGAGCGCACTATGTGTCCTAGACTCAATATGGCTGCACATAAGTACAACTTGGTTTTCAAGTTTACTGAATGTGAACAGTGGTCCAACTCCCGTTGACACTTCACGCGGAATCCTTTTTTTTGTCGCTGGCCAATCATGCATCAGAGTTGTGAAGCATCTCATCCGTGAGGGGACGGAAAGCTGCACTTCGGGTGGTAACCTGGTTTTTGGCGAGTTCATATTCAAGAATCTTGAATTTGAAAAATGCCATGTGGAACTCGGGCTATATCGCACAAAACCCATCACACAGTTGGTCATCTGGTTTTGCGGTCCCTGGCGTGAACGTTCCGTCACCACCTGAATAAGAGGAGTCAATTGGACGGATCTGACACATAGCCTTACGTTTTTGGTGCTTAGCGAACCATTACAGCTACATGCCAGCTGAGCGCCACACGAGACATTACAATCTGGGTCAGTCATATCTCTTGGTCTCAGTCGTTTTTGTCGGTTCATAACGACCTCCGCCCAGTAACTCTCAGGTATCTTGTCTCTTAGGTCTTCTGGACTGTCGAAATTAACATTTTGTGCCAACCAAGCTCGGCCTATTGTATGTCGTCTAGGAAAAGTACGCCTCCTGCCAGCCACCTGAAACTCAGAAAAGGCAAGCGATCCCGTCCTCAACTGTTAGCGTAGCAGAAGCTAAACAAGTACACAGCCAGTTGAGAGGTCCAAATCCGAGAACGTGGAATGGACCAGTATAGATCGTCGAGTACCAGCATAGAACCCGAGAAACCGGATAGTACCGTATCATGTGAGTTGCTTCGCTCATTCATAAAATTCCCACACCCGCCAACATCCTCCTAACCGTACAGTAAATACCGTTATTCGCTACACCCCTGCTCAACCGATGTTTACCTAGTTGTAGTTTTCATCGTCACACCAACCCTTCACACACACGTACCGAAGTCCTATGTCCCAATTGTCCCTCCCTTCCCTACACCGCATTTCGCGCTGACAACGAGGGTTGCTCTCATGCGAAGTCGTTGACGGGGCGAAGCGTAGTGTCTCCATCGCATCCCGACGCTAGCTCCTTGCGATATTATCGATAGGTTTCTGAATCCGAGCGACTAACAGGCATCGCAGGCGTCGTCGCACTCGTCGCAAACCCTAGAGTTGTCGACCTAAGCAACGGGAACCATGGCGTATCGCATGCGCGTCGTGATATTGGTAGGGATAACCCTTCTCGCCTCCACATTACTTATCGCGGACGGAGCGGCTGGCGGCAATACGAATGGTGGCGGCAATACGAAAAATACAGGCACAACTAGCAGCGGGACAACTAGCAGCGGGACAACTAGCAGCGGCACCACTAGCAGCGGCACGACTAGCAGCGGCACCACTACTAGCGGGACCGCTTCTACCGGGTCTTCTGGCTCTAGCGGAACCACTACCACTGGTAACGGAAATACTGCTAGTAACGGAAATACCAAGAACAACGGGAACACTGCGGCTACGGGGAATACCGCTAGCAGCGGAAACACCCAGAGCAGCGGAAACACAGCGGCTGCAGGGAATACTGCTAGTAACGGGAATACGCAGAACAACGGAAACTCTGCTGCTGCCGGGAATACCGCTAGCAACGGAAACTCTGCTAGTAACGGGAATACGCAGAACAACGGGAATTCCGCAGCTGCGGGGAATACCGCTAGTAGCGGCAACGGAAACTCTGCCAGTAATGGGAATACCCAGAACAACGGCAACACGGCATCTAGCGGCCCTCCCGCATCGCCACCGTCAACGTCAACGTCCGATTTTCTGTCTCTGCCGGTCAATGGGTGTACTCCGTCAGCTTGCCAGAATCCGTCACTGGGATTCTACAAGGGCACGTTTCAGCAGGCGTCGAATGCGGCCGCCGTTCAGAACATGAACTACGGCGAATACGTACGTTGCGTGCAGTTTTCAGCCTGGGCGGTTATCGAATATGCTGTAAATTTCGAGCGTCGAGTATGTAGGTAGCGCGCTGCTGCAGTCGAAACCGTCATTGGATATGCTATCGGTAGTGAATGCGACTCCGTCCACTCCCTCTCCTACTTCCGATTTCTCCGCACTCTCCTTTTTTTCTCTCCCACGGCAAGCGAACCAGCACAGCGCCAGTGTACCGCCAGCATAGCGCCAGCTACCCTTTGCCTACCCACATCCCTAGTCTCACCTCCCCTCACCTAACCTCCTCTCCCCTCTCCTCCACTCTCCTCCCCTCTTCTCCCCTCCTCCCCTACTCCGTCTTTCCCTCCCGTTCCCCATCCCTCCAGATCTACGGCACGCGAATCAGCTCAGATCTTGCCAAGTCATCCACTGACGTAAGTCGCGCTTCCATAACCGCCTGCCGAGCCGCGTACCCTGTCGCCTTCCCGTCCAGTCGTTTCCGCCCCCAAGCCTTTCTCCCCTCTCCCATTCCCCACCTTCCCCCTCCCATTCCCCACCTTCCCCCTCCCATTCCCCGCTCCCTCTCCTTCCTCTCTCTGTTGAACTCATCTCCCCGTCCCCACCTTCTCGTTGTTGCCGTCACGCCCACTCCCATCTCCGCAACCCCCCCGACCCCCCCATCCCCCCCTCCGCGTCCCCCTACCCCCCCCTCCTGCCCCCATCGTCTCGTTGTTGCCGTCACGTCCTTGCTCCCGTCAGTTTCATCTCGTTTTTTACTCTGCACTCTCTGCTATCCTCCTCATCCCCACCCCCCCCCCCCCCCCCCCCCCCCCTCCCTCCCCACCCCCCCTTCCCGCCCCACCTTCTCGTTTTAGCCGTCACGCCTTGCTGCCAGTCGGTTTCATTTCCGCTTTTGGTCAAAATTACCCCTATAATCAAGGCTCTCTCTCTCTCCCTTCCTCTGCTCTGCACTCACCGATCTCCTTCCCCTCCGCGACTCCGCTGCTCTCTCCTCCCCTCCCCTCCCCTCCCCTCCCGTCTCTCCCCCTCCCCTCTCCGCATTCCCCCCTTGCCCCACCGCCCCCCCGCCCCCCCGCCCTTCCCCCCTGTTTTTCCCAAGACAGGCGAAGACCTTCCCCGACTGCTGCACGGACTGCGCCAACACCGCTGCCTGCCACTCTTTCCAGTTCTACACGCCAGAGTAGGTTTCAACACGCTTGCCTGCTGTACCGCTCTGCACCGCATTGCACCGCAATCCGCCGCACTTCCTTAATTTGCTGCACGGACTGCGCCAACACCGCCGCCTGCCACTGCTTACAGTTCTACACCCGTGAGTAGGTCGCATCCACCGCATCCCACCGCACTCCACCGCTCTGCTAACAGTGCGCTGCACTGCGGTGCACCGCATTGCACCGCAGTCTGCCGCACTCTCTTGCTTTGATGCACGGATTGCGCCAACACCGCGGCCTGCCACTACTTCCAGATCTACACGCCTGAGTAGGTCGCAAACACCACTCTCCACCGCATTGCACCGCAGACTTCCGCTTTTCCATGCTTTGCTGCACGGACTGCGTCAACACCGCCGCCTGCCACTACTTCCAGTTCTACGCCCCTGACTAGGTTCCGCACGCACTCCATCGCTCTGCACTGTTCTTCAACCCTTAGCACCTCTCTGCACTGCTTTCCACCGCATCGCACCACAATCTCCCGCATTTCCTTGCTTTGCTGCACTGACTGTGCCACTATTCCCAGTTCTACACGCCATTGCTGCGCGCTCCATCGCGCTGTACCGTTCTCCACCGCACTGCATCGCAATCTTTCGCAATCTCACAAGCAGTTTTCTTCCCTCCCCCACCTTCCCCTCCCCCCCTCCCTCCCACCTCCCTCCCACCCCCCCTTGCTCCCCCCCTCCACTCCCCACCTCCCACCTCCCCCCTTCAGTTCCATTTCTTCTGCACCTGGCGGACAGAAGCAGTGCTTCCTGCTCTCCGAAGCGCCGGCTGGCCTGGCGATTAGCGGGCCTCTCAGCTAGTAAGTGCCGTCGCTTAATCTATAATGTGCATTGTATCCTCATCACCCCCCATCTCCCCTCCCTCCCTCCCCGCACGATTATCGTAAAACGGCGTATATTTGTTAGGGACTTTTTTTCTGCAACAAAAATCTGTAGGACGTCAAACTTGCTTCTAACCACCTCTAGGGGTGTGAACATAAATGAATCTGCTAACTATCCGCACCCTACTCTTCAGCCGACGTCAATTTCTTGACGTGCTCCCAAAGGGAGAATTTTGCTTCCGTGGGCTGTGCTGGTGTTGCTTTGTCGACGGGATTGTGAGAAAGGCATGTGAGGGAATTTGGTTGAGCTTCAACGATTGGCTAATGGATGAAACAAATTCGTTTCGCGCTCGCCAAATTTTGCGCTGTACGGGACTGTTTTCAGTGCGCGACGCGGCCAAATCATCGAGTCGGCTAACGACAAACCCTATCATGATCGACTCTCGATGCACACTTTCTGTGGTTCAAAATTTCGACCGTAAAGAACGACCGCATTTTTTAACCAACCTCAGAACACAACATTTTACGGTTTGTTACTGTTTTATACGATTCCGTATTTTACGGTAGATTTTCAAAAATACGGTCTTACGTTTGAACCTTGCCCTACCTCCCTCCTCCCGCCACCCACTTTTCTTATTCTTCTTCTTCTTCCGTGCTAGTCCATGTATGCGTCCGTGATGCAATCACCCTCTCTATTGCAATAGTGCCGAGTGCAAAAGATTGTCCTTTACAAGTTGCTTGTCGTATTGTATAGCGGATCTGTTACAACATTTCTGCTTCCCTCAATGCGTTATCTATCTTGACTCTATCCTTTGCTTACCCTGACCCTCCCTACTCCAGTGTTGGCGGGTTCTGCAACCCCCCTGCTTCAGCCACCCAGCAGCAGTCCCCCTCAACCACCTCCTCTGGCTCCTCCACCTCTTCTTCCTCCTCCTCCTCCTCTTCCTCTTCCTCCACCTCAACTTCTCCCACCGTTTCTGTGACCTCTCCTCCTCCTCCTGGCGTGAAGGGTGATCCTCATTTCGTGGGGTGGGACGGAGTGCATTTCGATTTCACCGGCCAGCCCGGCCACAGCTACTGCATGCTCTCTGATAACAACGTCCACGTCAACATGTATTTGGACGGTTACACGGAAACCAGCGCGAAAGGCGTCAAGGAAACGCACTCGTGGATCAAGGGCCTCGGGTTTATCACGCCTAATCATAAACTCGCGCTTTTCGCGAAAACGAGCGCGAGTCCCGCGCGAAACGGAGGGTACATGAAGCGGATTGTGCTTGACGGTCGGGAGTTTGATCTGACGGAGGGGACCAAGTACGGGACGGCTGACGGGGAAATCGAGATTGAGTTTGACGAAGCCGGGAGGAAGGAGGGGGATGAGGAGTCAGACGTGTACACTGTGTCTGTTCGCGATACGTTGAAGATTCTCCTTCGCATGCGTCCGGAAATTGGGGGAGTTCGCCGCCCGGAAGACTCGTTCATCCACTTTTCGATGGAGATTATAGACGAGCAGCTGTCTACACGAACGCACGGGATTCTCGGCCAAACATTGTACAATCTGAACAATCCCGAAGCGGCTCCGACTGGGTATGACGTGGAGTACAGTGGAGTGGTTTGGGCGTGGCAAGTGGTGGGTGCCGACGCGGAGAATTACATTCAGGGGACCCCTTCGGATTACGTTACGAGCCACCTGCTGACCTCGGATTGCCGTTTCTCGAGGTTCTCCCGCCGGGGTCTGTTCCACTCCGCCCTCTCCCTCGGCTGCTGGCGCAAGGGATTCGTGTGCTGAGCTGGATAGTTGGTTTGTGTTCTTATCTGGCATGTGGGCTGGTGTGCTGAAGTGGCGTAACTGGTTTCATGGTTCGGTCTGCTGTGTTTGGTGCACCCAGTGACAAGTGAAAAACAGCATATGGGGAGGCGGCTTAAGACCTACAATTGGGTGTGCAACGCACCATAGAGCCTCTTCCTCTTCTCTTCCAACTATCCTGGCCCTGATTTGTAGCATCTTAAACAGGTCATCAGCAGATGACAACAGCGTGCGAGTATTGTCATGGTCGATTGGGAAACAGCATTTATGCTGCTTGCTTGTTTGGGTGTGGTGTGGGTGCAGTTCAGCTAATGGGGGTGTCCTGAAACCTGATGCAGGCTTCATTTTATTTGCTGATATTTGTTAATTTGATTGCCGTTGTCCCACGCACTAGGTTATGTGTGCTGGAGCAAAAATACATATCGTATGCAAGCGGTTGCTGTGAGTTTGTTTGAGCAGACATGGTTGGTCTCTGGGCTGCAGCGGAAGATTATTTCCACAGCTTACCTCAGTAGACGTCCCTTCACACGACCCTATGGTTTCCTTGCGGTTCATATTTCTTTTTATCTATGAATCTGTAGTGTTTACTGGCCCTGCACTACAACATGTTGTGATGCCATGCCTTTCGTATATAATCCTCGTCCTTACCGCTCATAAGAGACATTTTTTGTATGATGCTTGCACTAACCTTATACAGCACTCCATTCCCGATCTTTCTGTGGCATGGCCCCTGTCACCTATTCGCCGTTGATTTCTTGTAGAACCGCGAGATTGTCGTTCGTGAAGTAGACAGCTGCCTCGACTCCACTCTCTCGAGTGAACTGGCTGTCTTTTATCGAGTCCCCAGCAATTTCCACTTTCGCCCTTGAACACCGTCCAAATTTGTTCTGGCACTTGCGTCAGCCGAAACACTGGGGATGATCTGTACAGTTCCGTCTGACGCAAGTTTTCGTTCTTATGGCAGGGGGAAGATCTGTACAGTTCCGAACAGCCTTTCAAGTGACACGTCAGACAGGTTTCTCGACAAATCGACGAAATGTACGTCCCTTGCTGCTGCTGCTGCTGCTGCTGCTGCTTCTTCCCCCCTCGCCTGTAATGCAAGATGAAAGGTGACAGGATGACATGGAAATGACTGGAATGTTTCTGCAGTGTAGATAACATCCCTGCGCCTGCCAGTCTCTCGATGCATCCATGCGCCTGCCCGCCCGTGCGAAAATACAGTGTAAAGGCATCCTAACGATTTTGGATTCCTCTAGAAGATGCAAACTTATCCGGATGTCTGGAGGTTCTCGTTCGGTATTGCTTGTTACTGTAGTATATGATGCAGGTTAGCCCAAAAAGAAAGGGCTAGCCCGAGTCCTCCAGTCCCCCCCCCCCCACATCAACTACATATAGTTCGTACCGTACAAAGCAAACGAAACGGGGCCACAGAAATTTCAACGAGAATATCTTCTCCTTCATCAAAGCGATATTTTTCATTCCAAATTTTATTGAAGATCATTCACGCCTCTCCCTCCATCCATCCTCGCCATCCTCCACCTCCATGCCCTTTGCTCGCATTGCCTGGCCAGAAATAACTCCAAACCCAAATACAGTAGAATGCAATGTTTCATCCTGAAGTGGCCCAGCTAGTTAGCTGGTTCACTTCCGAAGGATGAGGTCCCGGGATCAATTCCCCCCTGCGGCGTGTTCAGCCAGCCCCCCAGAAGGGGGTAATACAGGTGCTCATCTGGGAGTGGATACAACAACCTCGTTACCCAGCGAGGCGTGTAAAACAAAATGGGTAGGCGGGTTACGACCGACAGCCGGGGTAATACCAAGGGGGTTTCCCCATAACCTTTACCTTTACAGTAGAATGCAATGCACCGCGCCTCGGTAAACTCTTCTCTTCCCCTGCACTTATCATTCATTGCGTCTTCCTCCCTTGCCATACATCCCGTCCTGGCCTGTCCCCCGATCCAACACAGCCACCTGTCATCCAACCGCCATCCGTCCGTCCAGCTCGGATCAGGGGGAGGGTGAGCATTGGAATCTGTCTTTGCCCTGCCTTCCTGGCCTGGGTTGGAGTCAAGAGTCTAGACTCTAGAGTCTTGCGAAACAAAGCAGCAACAGAGCACTTGCACTTGGAGCGACATGCCTGTTGAGCGCTTGCATCTGTGGCTTGTGAATCGTTTATAAAGCAAGGGCTGACACTTGGTTCCTAACGTGCTCACCGCTTTTCATAGTTCACTCTCAAATAACCCCCACACGTCGCAATAGCAACGTGACTCTGTGTTTAGCTGCGGTTAAAGCCAGGGTCTCATGTAAGCTAAGGAGCCATCGACTGCAAAGCACTTGAAGCTAGGTAACCAAGTTAGTGCTGGCGAAGTTGTCTCTGGTTGGTTTGGAAACTCAGCTTGCGTCACTGCCCCAAAAGCAATTGCACAACACTTTTGGGTACTCGAGACTTTTGATGAATTGGGGGCATTTTAGGTTTGGCTCCGAACCAAGTTTCCAAGCCTAGATGGTTCGGTTGCCCCCAGCGATTTACTTTCGCTTCGCACCCCTCGCTTCACCCCACTTCGAACCTTACACCTCGCCAACCAATCAAAGCCACACTTCACCAACAATTGCAAAGCACTTGTAGTACGTAAGTCGGTGCATTGTCGGTCTTATACAACGCGTACTCGAGGGTGACCGAATCAGGAGTTAATTAATCGTTTCAGCTACTGTCAACCTCCGTCAACCACTGTCAACTACCATCAACCTAGTGAAAACAATGGCAGAAAACCAGTTCCACTCGACGCGCTACACCAGCTGGTGCCCTGCACCCAGGGGCGCGGACACCGCCGAAGAGCCATGTTCGACGGCGCGGGGATTCGATCCCCTGATCTTTGAGGAGGACGACGAAGGCGAAATGAGTTACTCGTACGAAGCTAACGTGGCGGAGTATGTGGAGTCACTCGCTGTCGCCGCGCACTAGAACCAATGGACAGGTACGCTGAATGTGGTCAGAAAATGCTCATACGCTTTTAGAGTTTCGAATGTAGCACTTACATTTCTCTCCTTTCGATCCCGAGTCGTGCGAGCTGCTCACCCGTTCCCTCTCCTCTCTCCTTTCCCCTTCGATTCCCCATCCTCTTTCCTGCTTCCCCTCTCTTCAGAGTTGGAAGCGTCGTGCGATCTTCTCGATCAGGCGGGAGTCGCTATCGAAGAGATTTGCCTCACCCATGGCATGCCGTCCGCCTTAATCTCCGTATCATCCATCCCGGAGGTGGACGAAACATCCGAGCAGTTTCACGATGCGCCTGCTGCTTCCGCCTCCTCCAACGCCTCAACTCCGCGCCACGACTATTCCCCTGGACTTTTTTCTCCAGTGGTTTCGAAATTCAGCCGCATGTCGCCAGCTTCGGGTGCGGGTGTACCCGTTATAAGGACGTCGCGGTTTGGTGGTGGGATGAAACACTCCGCTTCGGTACCTGCACTCGACAGTCTCGCTTCAAATGGCTCAAGCATTGATCTTATCCCGAATCAGGTGTACTACGTGTCAAATCAATCGGTACACTCCATCCCCGCTACAGTTAACGACGGCAATCATCGAACCGGTATGAAGCACTCGATTTCCGTCCCCGCCCTCAATCACCTCGCGATACACGAACATCTCCCATCCGTCGGCCAACTCATCCAGCCCGTTACAAGCAACCGCCGGTTACAATCACAGGCATCCAACATCTCGCTCCAGAGCAACGACAGCACCGGCTATTTCGCCGCAGATTGCGGCGACGACAGGGATCCGACGACCCTGCGACGAATGCCGTCAGCAGCACTTAGCGCGTGCGACTTCGGTAGCAGCAGATACAGCAGTCGCGTGCCGTCGCGCGTGCATTCAGTCGCAGATCTGCAGGCGGCGACGTTCGCTACAGGGCCTACTTCTCCACTTCCTGCTAGCTTGGCAAAAGCCAGGTCGCTTTCGCAAGAGCGAGCACAAGCACCGACGAACAGAGCCCAGCGACAGGGTAACCAGTTTCGCGCTGGCGGCCTTGCAGTTGGGGTTAGTGCGGTGGATTGCAAGGAAGCAGAAATCGCGGCTTTATGCCAGGGGAACATCACGAGCGTCGCTAGCAGCAGCAGGAGCAATCAGGGAATCAGCTCGCGTAGCAGCAGCAGCGGAAGCGGCGGCGGCGGCGGCGGCGGCGGAGGAGCAGGTACGCGGAAGGTTGGTGCGGTGCGTTCTATGAAGAAAATGCTCGCGTCGCTGTTTGAAACGGAAAGGAAGATGAGCGTCAAGGTGTGGATGGGCGGAAACCCTCATGCGATCGACCTGCATGGTAACCCGATCAACATGGCTACTCACGGTTACAGAACGCCGGCCGTGGTCCAAGCTGGTTATAGGGAGAACCTGCCGGCACGAAACATGCCCAAGGAGCTGATTCGACATTTGGAGATGCCAGTTGCTCAGTGAATCCCAGCATTTGACTAGCTCAGTGCTCAGTTGCTGCACAGGTGCCATTTCTCCTCCGCAGTGCTTGATACAGACGCCATGGGCAGTGTGATAAGAGGAGATGCTGCTGTCAAGTTATCCTGTCATCCTAATGCTGCCAACATGTGTTTTTTTTTCACCTTGAGTGTTGCTCGCCCTTAGGTTATTAGTCCCCTGCTCCCATACAGAAAGCTGTGTGCTGCACTAACATGCTTGTTTTGTTGTAAAGAGAATGCTGTTATTTGTTTTGCATAAAAATCCTTCCACTGATTTCATGGCACAGAATTCTTGTATCAGTGCTAAGACACAATGTCTCCTCTTCAATAATCAGTGCTCTAGTATTTGTTTTGTAGCCCGTTCCATTTTAGTAACCGTTTTGTTTTGTGTATATGAAACTCGCTTTATCGAAAAACTAGTCAATAACGAAACACGATCCATTTGGGTGACAGGTTTTCGTGCGACTCCAAACCATGCCTTGTTGAAAGAACGTGGGCTTGTGCCTCGACGTGTGCAATCTCAACCGCAAATCGCACCGTCGAACACGGAAAGAGTTCCATATGTCAACCCAGCTGCGCTGGTCCATCACCTCCGGAAAGGCGGCTTGGCGCAAGCATCCCAAACACAGACGAACATGGGGCGCATCGGCGATTCGGTTGGGTCTTGACATTTCTTTCTGGGGCGGTTCTGTTTTGTGCTTGCTTGGCTTCCCCTTCGCATGTCTCTGTATTCATCTAGCCAAATTGCAGACCAAGGATTGAGTTTTGAAAGCACGGGCAACATGCTATTACACGGCGAAATTTTATGACTGATGAACTGTGCTGAATGTAGTAAGAACAATTCACATTCATTAGTCTCTCACCGTGAGAGCTTGAGGCGCAGTGGGTCCATCAATGATTGCAGCAATAATTTGCGCTGGCTTACATCTAGACGCTCTTCTTAGTTAGGACTGCGCGCCCTGATTTCTCGCCTATCTTGCTCACCTGCCAAACGCATCCGAAGTCTATTTTCATAGGACGTCAAAGCGTCAGATTTGGAGTCATGCCGCCTACTGCAGGGGTAGCCGCGCACTCGCCACACGCGTATCGCGCATGGATCCCTCCCCCCGCGGCAATCACGCCCGTTACAGCCATCCACCCGCAACATTTTCACCCCTCGCGCGCGTATTTCGAACCCCACGCGGATCCCTCAGCGGAAAAGTTTGCGGAAGAGCGCGCGCTTGCTGAGGACCGCGCGCGCGCCGCGTCGAAAGTCGGCCAATGGGTCGATGCGCATTTCTCTGTTCCACCCGCCGCACCTGACGCCGCAACCTCTGGGCATCTCACAGAGGGCTACCCGTTCCCGTGCGAGCCAGAAGCAGCGGAAGAAGGGGGAGAAATGAACGGTGAAGATGGGAGCGTAAACGGACGGCGGAGATCGTCTTTGGAGGACGAGGCGCTAGAGCGGAAGCTGGCCGCCGTTGAGATGGAGAACTGCGAGATGACGGGGCGAGTGGCGGGTCTAGAAGCGATGCTTCGAGAGCGCGAAAGGGAAACGGCGGACATGCGACGGCAGATATTCGCTTACACGCAGGTCAGGGTTTCCTAATATCGAGATTACTCAAGTGAGCTCGAAGGGGCGCTGTGGTAGAGAGTGACGAAGACTTGTAGTTTTTCTGGTACACGTAGGGTGCAGGCACATATGATAACGTACACGCGGCTGTAGAGGTGGCATTTATCGAGTACAAGTAGGTTACTTAGCTTCCCGAACGCAAACCTGTGAGGGGCTTGTAACGAGTACAAGCCGCCGAGGGGCAAGCGGAGCAAGCGAGAGTGCTTGTAAAGGGCAAGGTTGAGGCCAAGGCCGCTCGCCCATCCAATCCACCTTCCCCCTCTTCCCATTCCCCCCATTCCTCTCCCCCCAATTCTCTCTCCCCTTCTCGTTGCCCTGCAGACTCGCCGACTCTCGAAGCGGGCTTTGCTAATTCGCAAATAGCACTCCGCTTGATGCGGGCGTTGCCCTTCTTGCCCAACCTCTCCGCTTTTCCCCCCTCTCCCTTTCTCCCCTTCCCCCCCCCCCCTTTCCGCCTGTACACCGCTCCCTCCCCCGCTTGCGAGCACACTCGCAGGCGCTCGAAGCGGGTCGCGGCGACTCGCTGACGCGCGCGGAGCTGATCAACCACGTGGTGCAGCTGACCAATCAGGTGCAAGAGCTTGCGCAGGAGCGCGATGCGCTGCGCAACGTCCCCAACGGCCTCGCGCTCACCTACGGCCTCCGTGCGCCCGGCGCGCTTACTGGCGGAGGCGCCGGCGCGCTTACCGGCGCTCTTCCTACCGCTGCTGCTGCTCGTGCTGCTCCTGTTGCGGCTCTTCCTGCTCCTCCCGCTGCTTCCGCTCCTTCCGCTCCTACCGCTACTGCTACTGTTGGCACTGGTCCTGGCGCCGCACGTGCCCTTCCCGTTACTGCCACTGCCGCTCGTGCTACCCCTGTTGCGGCTATTCCTGCTCCTCTCGCTTCTTCTGCTCCTTCCGCTCCTTTAGCTGCTCCTGCTCCTCCTCACTCTTCCGCCGTTCCTGAAAACGCGGTTCCGCAAGTGGCGGCAGCCAATCATCTACAAGCGCCCGCGTCTCGTGCCGCGTACCGCCCACCGCCTTCCACGCTCGACGTCTCTAAGGACGTAATCAAGAGCCCGCCGGCAGCCGCTTTCCACCCGGCGGTAAGCTCCTGCTACCGCGCGCCACCAAATTTTGAGTCGACTCAAACACCGCCTCCCACTCTCGACGTCTCTAAGGACGTGGTTCAGAACCCGGTGATACCTCCCGCCGCCTTTCTCCCGGTGGTAAGCTCCTGCTACCGCGCGCCGCCGGCCCCATTAGATGTCTCCAAAGATGTGATATCCGCACCGCCTCCGAATGAGATCCTGACCATCGATCACGAGGAGAGCGCACCTGCGGATGCGCGCGCCCAAGCGCAGCTGCGGAATAATCCCCCCCCGACTTCCGCCTCCGCTTCCGCCTCCACTTCCGCCTCCGCTTCCGCCTCCACCTCCGCCTCCGCTGCAGCCGCGCACATTGTTTGTGACGTCGCGCCACCCGTCCAGCGATCGCAGTCGCTCCACGCGACTTCCCAGCCCGTCAATAGCGCTGCGACTAGCGCGATTAATGGGTTGGCTCTTAGCGGGGAGACTCGCTCCAGTTCCTTCTCGCAGCAGCCCTCATCGCGACCGTACATTCTCACCAGCTCATCGCAACCGTCCGTTCGGCCAGAACCGAGGGTTCCAAACTTGTACAAGGCCGCGTTTGCTGCGCCGCTCTTTTCGCCGCAACCGGCGCCGCAACCTGCGCCGCAACCGGCGCTGTTCGGAGCGGTGCAAGTGGTGGGGCCGCAGGTCAGCCGCGTCGGGTCCATGCCGCCTCCTGTTGTCCAATCCGCTTCGAGCATTTCCGGTCGCACCGCCAGCGCCGGCGGTTTTCTTGTGCGCGCCGCTTCTGTTGCGGGGAGCGTGAGCGGGGTAGAGGGCGCGCGGAGCGGGGGAGCGGGCGGAGGAGGGCTGGGCGGAGGAAGGGCGGGCGGAATGGGTGGGAATGGGGGAGTAGGGCCGATGAAAGCGATGGCTGCTAATCCGTTTGAAAGGCCGAACGTGTCTCACTACAGTCAGGTGAGCTGTTTTATTCTAGAGTACGTATACATATTCACAAACAGACACATGTTCTCTGAATCTGATAAGATGCATTCAAGGTTGTTCACAGATCAGTGGCAATCTCACTACACATTTCTAACGTAAGAAAAGGTAGATTGCTCCTACAATTACTTTGGAAAGAATATGTATTCTTACCATCAATTCTCATTTATTACCTACCACCTAAGAATAGCAAATTCTCTAGCTCATTCTCTTGGTATTTGTCTAACCCGCAACCACTTCCCGCTTCCCTCTATCACTTCTCTTTTCCCCTCATAATGCCTTTTCTACAGGCCCTTGTATCCTACATCCCACCACCGCCATCAGTAGCAGCAGCAGCAGCACCAGTAGCTGCTGATAATTACTCCCCCAGTCGCCTTGCGTTAGCCCTTGCCCCATCCGCCCCTCCCCCCATCCAGCTTGTTCCCCCCATGCCTGGCGCCATGCCCGCTGCCCCCCTGCCGTTCAGACGGCCAGGTGGAGGGGGAGGGGGAATGGGCGCAGGGGGAATGGGGGGAGGGAGAGTGGGAGCGTGGGGAGCGGCAGTAGCAGGGGGACAGGGAAGGGGAATTCCCATGGTGGCTGTTTACCCTGATGCTGCTCCCACTGGTCTTATGGCTGTCAGATCAGCCATTCAGGGGCTGACACGTGGCACTGTAACAGTCAGCGGCAGCAGCAGCAGTGGAAGTGGTTTTAGCGGAGGGAGCGGGGAACAGTGTGAGAAGGCTATTAAGCAGCTAGAGATGCTGCTTAAAACGGGACGGGTTTCAAGGGCGGATATTCTGGCTGGAGTGCACGAGAAGTGTACAGTGCTGCTGGAACAGGTGAGACAAGCTTGTAACGTGTATCAGGGGAGGGAGTGTAACGTGTACAATTTGAAAATGACGACAGTGCCAGAAACGATACCATACGCATTGTGTCTCTTATAATGTGTGTGCCTTCTTCGTTCCATAGCCTTCGCTCCGATTCGCCCCTATCCCCAAAGTATTTCCCTAATGTGCTTAGTGCGTTCCATACTCAACCGTAGTAAAGAGCTGATAGAGTACCTCACTCCTGCTCTTTTGTAACCGCCACAGTTTTGAAACAAAGTGTCTTCATTTTCCTTCTTTTCCAAAACTGGCCTGCCTCCTGCTCCGTTGTAAGCCTTTTATGCAAGATTGTTTCTTTCAAATATTATCCTCAACAGCACATGTGTATTTCCTCCATGTGTGTACCTTTCATTTCTCCTCCCACCCTCAGATTGTCCCTCCCACCCATTCCAATTCTCTTGTACGCCTTATAAGCAAGGGTATAACAAGTATTAACGCCATCAACCCATGTGTCTTTCCTTCCATACGTGTACCTTTCTTTCTTCTCCACCTCAGATTGTCCCTCCCTCCCGCTCCAATGCTCTTGTACGCCTTATAAGCAAGGGCATATCGCACGCTACAAGCACTACCATTTCTACACCTCCAACCGAAGATCTTTTCCAATCCGACCCCTCCTCCTGTCTCATCGCGTCCCTCCTCTCTGCTATAGTCACACTCTCTTGGAGCCCCTCCTCATGCTTCTTCGATATAAGCATAAAGCCTGTAGCGAATATTACTGTACGCCGGCTGCTGCTTATCGATTTTCTGAACGCGGTGTTTTGGAGGGGAGGGAAGGCGTGCGTGGGCGCGGCTGTGGAGGGGTTGGGAGGGGTGCGGAGGGTTGACAAATGGATTGGCGTTCGAGAGGAAGCGCTTCCCTCGTCTCAAGAGCTTGCTGGCTGCAAGGTGAGGTCTTAATATGAAAAGTAAAACCTGTGGTGCTGCTGGGTAGAGTGAGATGGGAATGGTGCGAAAGGTTCACCGATGATGTATACATTCCCCATATAAAAAACCGCTTTAAATGAGACGATATTTGAGGCGCCTCAAAAAGAGTGAGATGGGAATGGTGTGAAAGGCTCACCGATGATGGCCTGAGAGCAGTGCGAGGGGTGCGGAGAGGGTTGACTAGTGAGTGGATTGGCGTGTGAGAGGAATCGCTGCCTTCCTCGCCGCAACTTGCTGGCGGCAACGTGGGTTCTTGATTAACAAGCTGGATGGATTGGTGCTGCTAGGTTGAGTGGGATTGGGATGAAACAGGAGGGATGAGGAGGGTTGACAAGTGGATTGGCGTGCGGGAGGAAATGCTGCCTTCCTCTCGGGAGCTTGCTGGCTGCAAGGTGAGGCCTTCAATAAGTGGATAGTGTGGTGCTGGTCGGTTGAGTGGGATTGGGATGATACGGGAGCGGTGCAGAGACAGGTGGATGTGCGTGGGGGAGCAATCGCTTCCCTTGTTTTAGGAGCTTCCTGTCTGCAAGGTATTCTACACTAGCAAGGTGGATTGAGTGGTGTGGTTGGGTTGAGTGGGATTAGGATGGAACCGGAGTGGTGCTGTGCGGATAAAATAGCTCCCTTCCTCTCAGGGGCTTGCTGGCTGAAAGGTAAGGTCTTCTTTTAGTGGATTGTATGGTTCTGCTCGGTTGAGTGGGTTTAAGATGGTACGTGAGGAATCACTTCCTTTCTCTCAGGGGGTCGCTGGCTGCAAGGTGAGTCGTTGGGCTGTAGGTTGTGTGGTCAAAAGCACGTGTGGTGTTGCTGGGTTGGGAGCGGTGGAGAAGGGTCATAAGGGGTTGGAGTATAAGAGGGTTGGAGTAGAAGTGGATTGGAGTCTGGGAGGAATAACTTGCTGCCTTCCTCTCAGGGGCTCGCTGGCTGCAAGGAAAGTTGTCGATTGGTGTTTTTTTTGATTTTTTTTTTTTGTTTTTTTTTTTTGTGAGATAGTAGGATTTTGTGGTCCGATGAGACGGTCATGAGGACTGGTGAGAAAGTTCTTGATTGGCGAGGGATTTTTGCTAAGAGAAGGTAAGATTGTGTGGTCATGGTCATGATGACGTGTCAGCAACGGATAGGTGGGCTGCGGCAGCCTTAAAAGAGGGTAGGAGTGTGTGGTCATGGTCGTAAGGACTGACGAGGGTGGAGCAGCTTCTTGGCCCATCCCATACAACCCCTTCTTTTACTCTTTTAACCGCTTGCTGCTCTCGATTCATTCACCCCATTTGTTTACGTTGGTTTTATTGCATGTTCATTTTATAACTCCTTACGTTCTCATGTTTGCTAACTGCATGTGCAACCCCCCATGTGCATTTTCTCTCTTCATTGGTTAGGTTTTGGTCATGATCAACACAAAAGCAGGTGGACAATACAAGAGAAAGTGGGTATTTGGAAAGTAGATATTTCAGGCGCTTAGCTTGCACATGTAGGGTTCTGGGGTGTGAAGAACTCCCCTTTAGCTGGTTTAGGGTGCTTTTTTTTTCAACCAGCTATTTGAGACTTGAATCTAGCACATCAATGTAGGCTGGTTGCTCAATACTGTTGTGTAATAAAAGCCCCTATGATTTGAATGAGTGTATTTATTTGGCTCGTTCTGAGGAAACAAATGCCACATGCTGTGGGAAATGTTTGTTTTCCGTCATCACCGCACTAGCCAATCTCGTACCGCCTTCGATCGTAACGCATCTTTTTGAAACGGATTTCTATACCGTAAATCCCTCTCTGCGGGAGCTTCCCGTGAGCCAAGCACACACACCGCACCACCACCATTGCTGCTGCCAGCGTCAAATCCTTTTCTCGCCTACCAAAACCCTTTCCCGCTCGACCCGCCACGCGGGAAACGAAACCCCTTCATTGCGGGTCGCTCGTTATCCAGTTTTCTTCCTTGTCAGATCCTTGTTTTAGGTTTCCGTAGTTAATCGATTCGTCGTCGTCGATTTGTCATCGTTGAATCGTCGTCGTCGAATTGTCGCCATCAGCCAGTCGCCATGGCGAAGCACAAGGCGTCGACGAGCCGCCTCAACAAGATCGAGACGCGCAAAAAGGCGAAGCGCGAGAAGCGAAACCTCCGCGACCGCCGCCGCCGCGCGATCTCCTTCGCAGTTGCCGCCGCGAATCTCGGCGCGGAGACGCAGGGTCTGCTCGTGCCGTCGACGCAGCAGCGGCAGAAGCAGCAGCTGCCGCGAGCGGCGCCCGCGAAAGCCGGCCGGGAAGCTTCGAAGAAGCGGCGGAAGACGAAGCCGACGGGGCTGCAGATCTACTGGCATCTGGCCTCCGTGAGACGCGGGCCGCGAGAAACGGCGGCGGTGGCGCTGGTTTCGGAGTTAACGGCGGCGCAGAAGGCGTATTTGCACGCGCAAGGCGGGGGGAAGAAGGGCGGGGGGAATGTGAAAAACCCTGGCGGAAATGGGTCGACGAAGGGTTCAGGGCTTAAGAAGGGTTCAGAAGATGAGAGTTCGGAAGAAGAGGAAAACGAGCAGAGTGAAGAGGAGGAGAGTGAGGAGGAAGAGGAGGCGAGTGAGGAGGAGACAGAGGAGGAAGAAGAGAGTGGGGAAGAGGAGGAAGAAGAGAGTGGGGAAGAGGAGGAAGAAGAGGAGCAGGAGGAGGAGGAAGAGGAGGAGGGCGAAGAGACGAAGAGTATTTTGAAGCTGGAGGGGTGTTGCGACGAGATTAACTACGCCGTTAAGCGGCTGATCAGAGGCCTTGAGTCGTCCCGCGGGGTAAGCGTATGAGTCAACTTGAAGTCGACTCGAAATTTTAACTGTGATTCGTCCCGGAGGCACTTGTGTCGTTCCGCGGAGTCATTCCGCAAAGTCATTCCGCGGAGTCGTTCCGTCCGAGGTTTCGCGGAGTCCTTCCGTTGCCCTCGACGCTTGTCTCCCTTGCTCTGCCCGCTTTCCCCGCACTTCCAGCACTCCCTGCATTCCCCGCACTTCCCGTGCTTCCCGCGCTTCCCGCGCTGGCCCCCATCAGCTCCCCGCCATCGCTGCTGCCCTTGACCGTTGAACCCCGGTCCTCATGCTGCCCTTGACCGTTGAACCCCGGTCCTCATGCTGCCCTTGACCGTTGAACCCCGGTCCTCATGCTGCCCCATCCGCGCGTTGCCCTCGTTGCGCCCCACCCGCCCGCCATCGCTGCTGCCCTTGACCGTTAAACCCCGGTCGCCCTCTCTTTCCCGCTCCTCCCCCCTCCCACGACCTCTTCTCCCACCCCCCGAGATCACCAGGGCGCAACGCAGGACTACTCGGTGGCCTTCTCCGCCTGTCTCCGCGCGCTGCCCTCTCACCACCCGCTAAACCCCAAATCCTTCACCCATACACCTCCTCCCCTTCACCAGGGCGCAAGGCAGGGCTACTCGGTGGCCTTCTCCGCCTGCCTTCCGCGCGCTGCCGTCGCTGCATCCGCACGTGCCTGCCATCACTCCTGTTTAACTCCTGTCCCCTCCCCCCTCCTCCGTTCCCCCCCCCAACCCCCCTGTCACACAGGGCGCAAGGCAGGGCTACTCGGTCGCCCACGCCGCCTGTCTGCGCGCTCTGCCATCGCTGCACCCGTTAAACCCCGAACTTCAATTCTACACCCGTACACCTCTTCCCCCCACCAGGGCGCAAGGCAGGGCTACTCGGTCGCCCTCGCCGCCTGTCTCCGCGCACTGCCCTCGCTGCACCCTCACCTTCCCGCCATCGCGGCTGCTATTCCGCTGCTCATCCCTCTTCCCAACAATGCACGGGGAAAGGTGAGTTCGAGGTTTCTGTTTGTATCGCATGAGCGAGTAAAAATAAAAAAACCTCACCTTACGTCCTGTAATATCTGGGATGGAAAAAGCGACTTAAGATGTTTTTTTCCTCTGTCGTTCTTTCTTTCCATTTTATCCTGTGGAGTTTTACGATTGATATGACGAGGAGACATGATAACAAATCTGTGTTATGAATCGTCTGGGGGGGAAAGAAAGAAAGAAAGAAAGGAAGAAAGAGAGAAAGATAGAAGGAAAGAAAAAAAGCAATCACGAAAAATAAAAATAAAAATAAAATCACATAATGTAAGAGACAAGGTGAGAGCACGCCTCAATAGTTCGCTTGTGACTCAAGGGGAAGGGTTTTGAGAAGCAAGGGAAAATGTGATTGAATGTAGTCATTCGTGCGCTCTCAGTATATTCTGAAAAAGGAAGAAAGAGCAGAGGAAATATGCAATGTTACGTGACAAAAGAGTTGAAGAAATATACAACAAAACAGAACCAACACCGCTGCTGTTGCTGCCATCACATAGTGTATAGGTAGGGGGTTTCGGGGAGTCTAGAGGTCAGGTTAGTTCTTTGAAGCGCTTTTGCTAGCATGCTTGCTGATACTTGCTTGTCTTGCCTCAAAAATCGTCTTACTCTCCTTTTCCATTACGCCGTATCACCATCAGGACGCCTCTGAAGCCTTGTTTGGTCGCATGTTCGCCCTCGGTTCTCTCGTCCGAAGCGGCCTGCTTGCCTCCGCTTCCTCCCTTTCCCCACGCTTATATACTCTCCCCCCTACCCCGTATCACCATTAGGACGCCTCTGAAGCCCTGTTTGGCTGCATGTTCGCCCTCGGTTCTCTCATCAGAAGCGGCCTTCGCGCCTCCCCTTGAACCCTCCCTCCCCTATATCCTCTCCCCTTCTCTCCCTCCCCCGCTTTTATCACCATCAGGACGCCTCTGAAGCGCTCTTTGGTCGCATGTTCGCACTCGGTGCTCTCGTCCGAAGCGGCCTGCTCGCCTCGCCTTCCTCCCTGTCCTCTGGCACCGAAAAGCCAGCAGCAGCAGCAGCAGCAGCAGCAGGGGGAGGAGGGGTGGAGGCGGGGTGGTTGGTGGGGCGGGGAGGGTGGTTACCGGGGGAGGTGGTATCTCAGCTGGTGAGGATCGGCGAGCAACGGTCTTTCCTTGCCGAGCCTGCTACCGTGCTGCTGGTGACCCTCATTTCGCAGGTGACTATAACGAGTTTGTGCGCTAGAGTATAACAAGGGCGGTTACCTCTTTTTTTTGGGGGGGGGGCTTTTGGGTGAGGGTGGTTACTGGGGGAGGTGGTATCTCAGCTGGTGAGGTTTGGAGAGCAATGGTCTTTTCTCGCCGAGCCTGCTACCGTGCTGCTGGTGGCGCTCGTATCGCAGGTGACTACGGGCAGGTGATAATAACCATTGTGACTGTATCAAGTTTGTGATGTAATGTATAACGAGGGTGGTTGACGGGGGAGGTGGTATCTCAGCTGCGGAGGGTTGGAGAGCAACGATCGTTTCTTGCCGAGCCTGCGACCGTTCTGCTGGTGGCTCTCGTATCGCAGGTGACTATAACGAGCGTTACTCTCTCGAGTTTGTTCTGTGGTGTATGAGGGTGGTTACCAGGGAAGGTGGTTTCTTGGCTGGTGAGGATGGGAGAGCAACGTTCGTTTCTTGCCGAGCCTGCAACAATGCTGCTGGTGGCTCCCATATCGCAGGTGACTATAACGAGCAGGTGACTATAACGAGCAGGTGTCTTCTACGAGCAGGTGACTGTAACGAGCAGGTGACTATAACGAGCAGAACGAGCAGGTGACTATAACGAGAAGGTGACTATAATGAGAAGGTGACTATAACGAGCAGGTGACTGTAACGAGCAGGTGACTATAACGAGCAGATCACTATAACGAGCAGGTGACAAAAGGTGACTATAACGAGCAGGTGACTATAACGAGCAGGTGACTATAACAAGCATGTGACTATAACGAGAAGGTGACTATAACGAGCATGTGACTATAACGAGAAGGTGACTATAACGAGCAGGTGACTATAACGAGCAGGGTACTGTAACGAGCAGGGTACTATAACAAGCATGTGACTATAACGAGCATGTCACTATAACGAGCAGGTGACTAAAACGAGGAGGTGACTATCACGAGCAGGGTACTATAACGAGACGGTGACTATAACGAGCAGGTGACTATAACGAGCAGGTGACTATAACGAGCATGGGACTATAACGAGAAGGTGACTATAACGAGCAGGTGACTATAACGAGAAGGTGACTATAACGAGCAGGTGACTATAACGAGCAGGTGACTATAACGAGCAGGGTACTGTAACGAGCAAGTGACTATAACGAGCAGGTGTCTTCTACGAGCAGGTGACTGTAACGAGCAGGTGACTATAACGAGCAGAACGAGCAGGTGACTATAACGAGAAGGTGACTATAATGAGAAGGTGACTATAACGAGCAGGTGACTGTAACGAGCAGGTGACTATAACGAGCAGATCACTATAACGAGCAGGTGACAAAAGGTGACTATAACGAGCAGGTGACTATAACGAGCAGGTGACTATAACAAGCATGTGACTATAACGAGAAGGTGACTATAACGAGCAGGTGACTAAAACGAGCAGGTGACTAAAACGAGCAGGTGACTATAACGAGCAGGGTACTATAACGAGAAGGTGACTATAACGAGCAGGTGACTATAACGAGCAGGTGACTATAACGAGCACGGGACTATAACGAGAAGGTAACTATAACGAGCAGGTGACTAAAACGAGCAGGTGAATATAACGAGCAGGGTACTATAACGAGAAGGTGACTATAACGAGCATGTGACTATAACGAGCAGGTGATTATAACGAGCAGGTGACTATAACGAGCAGGGTACTGTAACGAGCAGGGTACTATAACGAGCATGTGACTATAACGAGCATGTGACTATAACGAGCATGTGACTATAACGAGCATGTGACTATAACGAGCAAGTGACTATAACGAGCAAGTGACTAAAACGAGCAGGTGACTATCACGAGCAGGGTACTATAAGGAGACGGTGACTATAACGAGCAGGTGACTATAACGAGCAGGTGACTATAACGAGCATGGGACTATAACGAGAAATTGACTATAACGAGCACGTGACTATAACGAGAAGGTGGCTATAACGAGCAGGTGACTATAACGAGCAGGTGACTATAACGAGCAGGTGACTATAACGAGCAGGGTACTGTAACGAGCAGGGTACTATAACGAGCATGTGACTATAACGAGCATGTGACTATAACGAGCATGTGACTAAAACGAGCAGGGTACTATAACGAGCAGGTGACTATAACGAGCCGGTGACTATAACAAGCAGATAACTATATTGAGTGTGACTGTATAAGAGGTGATTGATTGAGAAGTGTGTGCAAGGGTAGGTAGGTGATACTGCATCGGTCTGCCGAGCCTGCAAGTGTGCTGGTGGTGGCTCTCGTATCACAGGTGAAAATATCGAGTTTGTGCTGTATCAAGAGGGTGGTTACCGGGGGAGGTTAGGTGGTTTTGAGGGTCGGAGAGCATCGGTCGTTTCTTGCCCGAGCCTGCTGTCCTTTTCCCCATCCCATTCCCCCTAACCTACTCCCCCCTCTTCCTGTCCCCTTCCCGTCCCCTTCCCGTCCCCTTCCCGTCCCCTTCCCATTCCCTTCAAATCCCCTTCCCATCCCCTTCCCATCCCTTTCCCATCCCCTTCTCATCCACCTCCCATCCCTTTCCCATCCCCTTCCCTTCCCCTTCTCATCCCCTTTCCATCCCTTTCCCATCCCTTTCCGATCCCCTTCCCTTCCCCTTCCCTTCTTCTTCTCATCCCCTTCCCATCCCTTTCCTTCCCCTTCCCTTCCCCTCACCTTTTCCCCTCTGTGTGCCCAGCTCCCCTCCTCCTCCCTCCCGCGCATCCTCGCCCTGCCACCCATCACCGCCTTCCTCTCTCAAGACCCCTCCCACTCCTGGCCCTGCACCTTTCTCACCCGTTCCTTTACTTCCCCCTTTCCCGTTTCCTTGCCAATCCCCTGTGTCTGCATCGCAGCTTCCCCCCTCCTCCCTCCCGCGCATCCTCGCTCTGCCACCCATCTCCGCCTTTCTCTCTCAAGACCCCTCTGATTCTTCCCCCGAGGCCCTGCACTTCGCGCTCAAGCTGTGGCAGCTGGGGGAAACGGGGATAGGGGGAGGGGAGGGAGGAGAGGACGGAGGAGAGGAAGGAGAAAAAGGGGCAGGAAAAAAATCGGGGAAAAAAGGGGGCAAAGGGCGGAAAAATGCTGCTGGAGCAGGGGCGGAGACGGGCAGCGGAAACACATTTCTGCGCACACTGCTGGGACTCTGCCCGCTGCTGCCGCAGTCGGGCCGGGCAGAAGATTTTTTCAGCGCTGCCCATCTGGAGAAGCTGCTGCCCGTGCTGCAAAATAGCTCTTCCTCCCACCCACGCCTGCATGCAGTGTGGGCGTTGCTTCTTGACCGCCTCTTCTCACTCCCTCTCCCCTCTCTCTCTCCAACCTCCTCCTCCTCCCCCCCCTCTTCCCTGCTCGCGTCCCTCCCATTTCTCTCCCCCGCTTTCTCCAAATCATCCTCCTCTTCCTCCTCCTCACGCCTCCCCTCCTCAGCCCTTTCAACTTTCTGGTCTATAATAGTAGACAAGGGATTAATCCCTTCCTCTCACGAAAGGAGGTATTTGGCTATTAATCTCCTGCTGCTCCTAATCCCGCGCCTCCCTCCCACCACCACGGCCCATGTCATCCTCTCTCGACCAATCACGCGCTGCCTAACGGACGCGCTGGGTGCGGGGAGCAGGGCGCACCTGTTCCCGCTGAGTCAGCGCTGCGTCGCGCTGATTCAGCGATGGCCCACACTGGGGGATGGGGGGAAAAGGGAAGTGGGGGAAGGCGGAGAAGGGGAAGGGGAGGAGGGGGGTGACGGGGAAGCGGGGGGAGGAGGCAAGCAGGGGAAGGAAGGGAAGGAGGCGGAAGGGAAGGAGGGGAAAATTAAGGCAACGAAACCAGCATCACCAGCGGCAGCGGCAGCAGCAGAAATGGAGTCAGCAGCAGCAAGGCTCGCTATTCTCACCACCCTGCAGCACCACTCTAAAGGGCAGTTCGATACAGTCACACGCAGCAACGCTGTCCGCCTGCTTGCATCGGGGATTGCAGGGGTTGAGGGGGAGAGGGTGTATTACGGGTTTCTGCAGTCTGTGTTTGCCCGCCCCGGGGAGTTTGCGGGTTTAGGGGGAGAGGAGGTGGAGAAGGGGAGAGGCGGAGATGGGAGGGGAGGGAGAGGCGGAAAAAAGGGGAAGGAAGGGAAAGGGGGGAGTGGGAGCGGGGAGGAGAAAGGAGGAGGAGGGGAGAAGGAGTGGGAGAGAGAGGCGGAGGCAGAGAAATGGAGGTTTTGGGCTTTGGATCAAATGTGTCGGCTGGTGGCTAAGCCAGTTCCCAAACCGGCACTTAGCTTAAGAAAAACACTTAAGCAGCTCAAGAAGAAGAGTGTTTTGAACGCTGATGCTCAAACTGCGGATGGTGCGGGAGAAGAGGAGGGGAAGGAACGGGGAGGAGTGGAGGTTAGAGAAGAGGAGGAGAGGAGGAGGAGGGAAGCAGAGGAGGCAGTGAAGGGAGTGTGGGAGCATGTGACTCTAATGAAGGTGATTCTAGGGTTCATAATGAGAGTCGTTCTAAAGGGGGAAGGGTTTCAGCCTGAAAACAGTGGGAAGGTGGCAGGAGGAGGGGAGGAGGAGGAGGAAACTCCTAAAAAGGGAAAGAAAGGAAAGAAGGGGAGCAAGGAGGGAAAGCAGAAGCAGCAGCAGCAGGAGGAGGAAGAGTCAGAGGCTCGGCCTCTCTCGTTCTCCCCGGCCGTGTCTGGAGGTGTGCTGGCAGCTTGCAGGTCTCGGTTCTTATCCTCGTTAGAAGCTCTTTTCAAGCAGCTGGACTATTTCGTTAAGAGCCCTGAGGGAAGAGAGGTGGAGCGGGCACTGGGGGCCGGGAGAGAGGGGAGAGAGGGGGAGGGAGGGAAGGAAGGGAAGGGGACTGAAGGCGCTCCTGTAACGAGTGTGAGTGTGAAGGGTATGAGTGTAAAAGGAGCAGGGTTGTGGGTGGTGGAGCAGCTAGTATGGGAGGCAGAAGGGTGGATGGAAGGGAGGAGGAAAGCAGGTGTTGAGAATGGAAAGATGGAGGTTGATGGGAAGGGAGAGGAGGAGGAGGAGGAGGAGGAGGAGGAGGAGGAGGAGGAGGAGGAGGAGGAGGAGGAGGAGGAGGAGGAGGAGGAGGAGGAGGAGGAGGAGGAGGAGGAGGAGGAGGAAGGAGGCGAGGATGTGGAAACTGTTGTGGGAGGGCTGAGAGAGACTCTCAAGGGCGTTACATCGAGTCAAACACAGTTGACCGGAGGAAAAGCACTGCTGGACGCTCGGAGGAAGGCTGTTGGCGTGCTCCTAGGGACGCTCCTGCTGTGTATTCGCATCCAAACCTCCGCCGAAGCTGCCGCCGAAGCTGCCGCCGAGGCTGTTGCAGAGGCTGGTGCGGGTGGGGGAGTTCGGAAGGCAGAAGAGACTGATGGGAGTGGGGACGAGGATGAGGAGAAGGAGGAAGAGGAGGAGGAGGGTGCTGCCTCTCCTGCTCCTGCTGCTGCTGGTGCTGCCGCTGCTGCTGCTGCTGGTGGTGCTGTAGCTGGGGGTGGTGACGTGGATGTTCTCCTGGAAGCTGCTGCTGACGTCACTGCCATTGCACGCCAGCTGGCGGCGTCTGGTTGGTTGGTTCCGAAGGGAGGGAAGGCCAGCGCGAATGGGAGTGTTGGAGGGAAGGGGAGAGGAGGAAAGAGGGTGGTAGACGGTGAGGAGGTGAGTGAGGAGAGTGAGGAGGAAGAAGAGGAGGAGGAGGAAAATACAAAGGATGTGATGCTGTCGTTGGTGGATGTAGTTTTGTCCTTACTGGCACAGGAATCCTCTCTTCTGAGAGGGGCGGCGGAGGGTGTCTTTAGCGCCTTCTGCAATGATCTGACTGCCGAGGCGCTTGAGTCTATAATGGAGGTGGTTGTAACGAATCCTAGGAGCAAGAAGAGAGAGGAGGTGCTGGAAGGGGAGGAAGAGGAGGAAGAGGAAGAGGAGGAAGAGGAGAGTGGAGAGGAAGGGTCGGAAGGGGAAGAAGGCAGTGAGAAGGAGGAAGAGGAGGAGGAGGAGGAAGACGAGGAGAACGAGGAGGACGCTGCGTTAAGAAAAGCTATCAAGGAAGCGAACGAGAGCAGCATCGGTAACGCCAACGGCAGCGGCAGCATGAGCGACAGCGACAACGAGGAGTTGTTGGACGATGCGGCCATGTTCCGAATCGACCAGCATCTGGCCGACATCGTTCGTCAGAAAGTGGAGGCGGAGACTCGCCGCAAACGCCGGCAGAGCATCCTGCTAGGAGAGCACTTCCGCCTGCGCGCTCTGTCGCTGCTCGACACGTGGCTCGCACACGCTCCCAGTGCCTACTCCCACGCACACTCCCTCTCGTCAGAAGAGCCACGGTCGTTGGACGCTCGTAAGCCTCTTTCGTGCGATCCGCTGGTGCTTGCGGTGGTGCCGCGGCTGCTGAAGGAGGCAGCGGGGAACTATGCGGCCAAGGGCAGCTTGAAGGGCGGGAAGGGCGGGGGAGGCGGCGAGGGACGGGGGGGCACGGGGCATGATGCGGTGCTGGTGAGGGTTGAGCGGATGCTGGAGAGGAGGGTGGTTGGGGCGGTGGTGGTTGTGGGGGGAGGTGGAGGGAAGGGCGGAGGAGGGAAAGGGGGGGGAATGAAGGGAGGAGGAGGGAAGGGTGCTGCTGCTGCTGCTGGTCAGGACGAGGAGGGGGAGGAGGAGATGAGGAGGATAGCAATAGAGATGCAGCAGGAGCGGCAGCAGGAGCAGGAGGATGAGGCAATTCTGCTCGCCGCCCGTGCGGCCATGCAGGAGTGTTTTGCAGAAGCCACCCGGCGAACCTCGATCCGCCACCTGGCGCTCGTTGCGGGAGATTGCGCCATGTGGCTCTGCCACGTCATCCAGGCGCGGCTCTTAGCCAAGTCCCAGCGGGAAGCAAATTCCAAGCGTGAGCAGGAGAAAAACGCCAAACCTCAACAGCAGCAGCAGCAGCAGCAGCGGGGGAAGAATCAGCAGGGGAATGCATTCAAGGCATCTTTGATCGACCCAGCTGTCCTAGACGCCTTTTCTTCCACCATTTCCCGAATCCTTGATTCTCGAGATTGCCCCCTCCCCTTGACCTTTATCCGCGACACTCTCGCTCGCTTCCCCGGAATGTTTTCCGCACTCATTCCGTACTTTTTCAGAAAGTGTGGCTCGGGCAGGTCGGAGTTCGTCCGGGCAGCTGCGGTGAAACTCGTCACACCGTTCCTGAACCGTTTTCCTCTGCCCGAGGGGGCGGCGGAGGTGCTATCCGGGCAGGTGGAAAAGGGGGTGGTGGGGAAACTGCTGATTGAAACCCTAAAGCATGAGTATGGGAAGCTAGAGCGGTGGGAGTTGGGATTGGATTTCTGCTGTGCTCTGCTGCGGTCTGTAGGCCATGCAGACGAAATCTTAGCAGCAGCTGCTCATAAGGCGGATGGAAACGAGAGGCTCGAGAGTGATGGCTTGGGCGTCCCGAAGCTCCTCCAGGCCTTGGATGTTGAGGGGCTGAAGGCAGCTTCGGCCGATCCTGCGTCGGTGCAACGGGTGAAGGGGAAGGGGAGGACGGGGCAGGTGATTGCACAGTTGCAGCGGCTGGTGGCGGCTGTCGAGGCAGTGAGGGAGGGGAGGGCGGGGAGTTTGAGAGAGGGGGTGAATGTGGTCTTGGGGCGTGTGAGGGGAGGGAAAGGGGCTGCGGGTGAGGAAGAGGGCGGGGAGGAGGAAGTGGAGGAGGGAGAGGGGATGGATGGGGATAGAGGGAAGAGAGGGGGGAAGGGAGGGAAGAAGGGGAAGGGAGGGAAGGGTAAGCGGAAGCAGGTGGGGGAAGCAGAGGGGAAGGAGGTGAAGGAGGAGAGGGAGGAGGATAGAGAGCAGCAGAGTGAGAAGGCGGAGGAGCAAGTGGGAGGGAAAAAGAAGCTGAAGGAGAAGAAAGGGGGGGATCAGGAGGAGGGGAAGAAGAGAAAGAAGCAGAAGAAAAGCGCAGGTGAAGAGCAGTAAGAGGAGGACGACGACAACGAAAAGGAAGTGAAGAGGAGCAAGCAGAAGTTTTGATTACGGTGAGGGAGGGAAGAGGATAAAGCAGAAGTTTTTATTATGGTATTTGACTGAGATTAAACGATCGGAAAAGAGGGTGGGGTTGTGGTAGGGTGGGTGGAGGGGGGGAAAGAGGGAATCGGGGAAGTGGTGAGTGGAGTGTGGGAAGGAGGGCTTTGAGATGGCCCAAGATTCAGGAGAGGAGGTAGAAGAAGGAATGTATGAGGGAGGTGGCTGATTTGCTGGCAGGTGGATTGAAGACAGGTCCACCAGGAGGGCGCGCCAGCTTTCAAGATATAGGTGAGGAGGTAGAAGAAGGAAGAAGGAATGGGGGAAGGGGTGAGCTGAGTGTGGGGCGGAGGTCTTTGAGATGGCCCAAGATTCAGGAGAGGAGGTAGAAGAAGGAACATGCGAGCGAGTGGCTCATTTGATGGCAGGTGGATTGAAGACAGGCCCACAAGGAGGGAGCGGTGGGGAAAGAGAGACAGTGCGGGGAGAGGGGGCGCTTTGAGATGGCCCAAGATTCAGGAGAGGAGGTACGCGTGAGGGGAAGTTTGGGACTGATTTGATGGGAAGACAGGCACACGAGGAGGGACCGGGGGAAGGAGGAGGAAGAGCCACGGCAATAGAAAAGGGACATTGGTATTCTAGGAAAAGGGGTGTGGCACAGAATCTGTTGCTGAGGGTATAACCGAGTTGTGGTTAATTTGAAAAAGACCCAGTGAATTTTGAACTAGTAAGTTTGAGCTTGGACGGATTGTTTACTCACTCCTTGGGATGTTGCACAATGCAGAATACCCCTGAGCTGAGCTGGAAATGGTGTTATGTTTGTGTGTGAATAGGTTGCTACCGTAGAAACCTTACAAAGCTTTTGGGTGGTTGCTGAGTGGATGGTTGCTTGCTAAGAGCTTGAACTCTCCATGGTACGTTCTATAGAACCCAACCGGGACTCTATTGCGGAAGTGGGCTTAATTTTTGGCAGGGTATGCGAAGTCCCCCTTTGTCTGTATACCGCAGTTGCAAATGCATTTGCGCGTCAGCTTTTAGAGGTACTAAACTCGAATTCTGACGCGTTATTTGTGTCAGACTCGAGTTCTGACACACGCACCGAGTCAGACCTTCGATCTGACGCGCCGCTTGCGCGAATTTGCAGACTCGGTGCTATATTTCGTTACGAAACTCTTTCCCTCCTCCCCCAAGTGTACACTCTAAACTGGTAGTCGCTAATGAAGTAACTGGGTCTTCAAACACTGCTGCCCTTAATTTGAAGATGATCACCCTAGTCTTTTCCAGAATTTGTAGATCCCGGGTCCTATGCACTGGAGACTACGGCAATGCCCATTCAGGTAATCCGCATGAATGAAAGCCACCATCATAGGGTAGGGAAGGATGAAGGGAAAATATGTCAACGGTAACTTACATGGGGCATTATAACACGTACGGTAACGATTTCAACGCGTTTGGTAACTCGCTTAACGCGTTTGGTAACTCGCTTAACACGTTTGGTAACTATACACTAGCAGCCCATCACGTTACCAAACGCGTTGAAATCGTTACCGTACGCGTTATAGTGCCCCATGTAAATTACCATTGACATATTTTCCCAAGGATGAACATGACAACCCAGAGTGGAAATCATATACCTGTAGAAGCACAATTGATATTGCTGGTTACATAGCAAAGGTACAATTGCTGGAAGGAGATTATTGAAGAAAACAGAGCATAAGTGCATTTCTCTAGGCCTAAATAGCATCCCTCAAACCAACATCCCTAAACAAACGCTAAGGAGAACCGCAACCCTGATCTTGCTACCTCTGTTCTGCTGTGGCTGCTGCGCTGCTGCTGCTGCTGCTAACTCTACTAAATTGTGAAGGGAGGCAAACCGCTTCGGAGGAAACGCCACTGCAGAGGGTAGGGTGACCAACACCTAACAAGAAATGCCGCACGCAGCAAGTGGAGGGCCCTCGTTCTTGGCGCTGAAGGGGCTGATCTTGACCCAAAGGAGGGAGAAGATGGAGGCGAGCAGCACGGACCACACGATCACAATCGTGGGCATCTTGGCGTTCCGCCCACCAAGACCCTTCATGAAGGGGTAGAGATGCACAATCACCCAGAAGGCGAAGAAGAGCTTTCCGAACAGGTCACCCCACTCGGCGGTTCCGGAGTTCATCGCAACTGCAACTCCCGCGACAATCCCGAGGACGTTGAAGATGATGAGGAAGAGAGGGGGGATGAGCAGCGAGGTCCACTTGAACAGGTACAGCTCAGCAAACTCGCCATCTTCCGCCTGCTTAGCTGTCACCGTGAAGTTGGTGTCGATACCAGCTAGCACTTTCAGCATGCCCTGGAAAACCGCGAAGAGATGCGCCGACACCCCTCCGATGACCCAGAACTGCTCGTTTCTCCACCACTCCGTCATGCTGACCTTGGACCACCTCATCTCAAGCAGACCCGTTGCAAAGATGCTGAGGAAAAGCGCGATGAAGTAGAGCGTGGAGACTGTATCGAGGTAGGGGATGATGAACTTGTTGGTGAGCAGGCAGATGGCGGGGAGCATGCAGTACATGAGCAGCGGGAAGGACGTGAACGGGTAAACGACGGTGTTTATGTAAGAGAGTCGCTGAAGCAGCTTCAGGCGGTTACCCCTCCAGCCGTACCAGATGGGGCAATGGCGGGACAGGAAGATCTCAACTGACCCAAGCGCCCACCGAAGCACTTGCTGCAGACGGTCGGACAGATTAATGGGCGCTCCTCCCTTGAAGGTGGCGCGCTTCGGCTTGCAGTAGATGGAGCGCCAGCCGCGCGCGTGCATCTTGAAGCCCGTCAGAATATCCTCTGTGACTGACCCGTAGATCCAGCCAAGCTGTAAGGGAGTGAAGGAAGGGAAGGGAAGGGAAAGGAGGGAAGGGGACGTAATGATCAGCAACGGAGGCTTGGAGAAAGGACAAAGGGCGAGAGGGTAAGGGGACGAGAAACAAGCTGTGGATTGAATGTGTAAGGGGAGGCAAGGGAGAGCAACAACGGACATCAGACAGTATCGACAATGGTGATGAATCACGATGGTAAGGGACAAACCGTACCTCCTTGCCCCACTCCGTCTTCTCCTCGTAGCCGCACGAGATGACGTGAATGGCCTCCTTAAGAGTGGACCCGGGACTGGCAGAAGCCACGCCGCCGCCCTCCTCGTGGAACGTGGAGAGCACGAAGACGGGCGACTGGCCGAACTTCTTCTCAAACTTCTTGAGAGCCAAGAGGCTATCTCCCTCCACTGTGGGGGAAGATGGGGGGGGGGGGGGGGAGCGGCGAGAGGGAAGGGGGATTCAAGGAACAGTCGACTGGCCAAACTTCTTGAGCGCCAAGAGGACAACAGACATCACCAACACGTTTGAAAAGGAGAGAATCAAGAATCAGCGGACAACAGACATCACCAACACATTGAAAAGACATTATCCACCGAGCGAATCAACTCACCATCGTCGTCACCCAGGAAGGCCTCAGCGCCGGCGGGCAGCGGCGTGCCGTCCGGAAGCTGCTTCCGCTTGCCTCCGCCTTCCTTCCCTCGGTCGCCCGCGCAGCAGCTGAAGCACGAGCACATGAGCCCGCCGCACCGCGCCTTCTTCTCCTTCTTGGGCGGCTCGTAGCCGTAGAGCGCGTGGCGACGGAAGCAGCAACCGGTACCGACGTAGCAGGGGCCCTGAATGCCGTCGAGCCCTGGCAGATTGATCTGTGGGAGTGTGCATGGGGAGAGAGTTTGCGGGTAAGGAGATTAAAAGGAGGAAATGAGCAAGGTTGGGGTGCGAATGGCAAGAAAAAAAGGCAGCGGGTGAAGGGAAGGTAAAGTGAAACCGAAGAAGGTACGAGTCGTTGACTTACATCGAAGAAGACGGTGTTGTGGTTGGCGTAACGATCGTTGGGGTCAATGCCGTCGAATCGCTGCGGGAACTGCACGTAGCAGCACTTCTTGCCCACGTTCGGATCCATCATAAAACACATGGCCTCCCGAAGCGCCTTGCTGTCGTTGAGGTAATGATCGCAATCCAGATTCAGCATGTACGGCGCGTTAGACAGAATCGCCGACACGCGAATCAGCGAGTTCATCGCACCGGCCTTCTTGTGGTGGTTGTAACCCGGGCGCTTTTCGCGAGAGACGTACACCATTCGCGGAAGCACGTGACCGTCCACGTCGGTTCCGCCGCTCGGGCCGAGGAAAACCTGGATCATGCCGGGATGGTCGCGGGACTTGCTGCCGGGCCACGGCGTGCCGTCCTGCATCACCCAGCCTTCTTCGGGCATCTTGTGGGAGCGCGCGACGAGAGAGTTAATGCGAATCTTGAACTCCTCATAGTCCCTCTGTAGGAGGAACGGGTACCAGGAGAGAATAAGAGATACGGGGAAGTGGGAGAAATGTTTTTTTTTTTCGACAATTTGCGTAGAGATGCGCATTCATTTTCGAGGAAAAAGGCAGGGACAACATAGAATGACCCGAGGCGCGTCTCTCGAGTTACTTTATTTTCGAAAATGCTTGTTACCCGATCCGAAACACACCTTCATTTGGCGACGATCCTTGACGAAATCCTGGTCAACCTTGTCCTTGAGGTAGTCGACTTTCTGCGTGAAGTACACTTCAGGTGCCCGCGGCTCGATGCTGTATCTCTTCGCGAAAGGAACCCAGCGCCTCGCGAATTCCGCAGTTTCGCCCATCGCGTCGAAGGTTAGCATCGCGCCACCATCGTCGTGCACGTAAGCCGAAACTTTGTCGACGGGATAATCAACGGACAGGATGGAAAGAAGCGTGTTCGCCGTGGTGAGCGGGGGCTCCTTCTGCGGATCCACCGTCGACACGAAAAGATCGACGGCCGCCAGCTGCGAAGGCTCGCCCTTGCGATCGAAACGCAGCGACAGACGGTCCAGATACGTCTCTCGCTTGATCGGCATCCACTTGGGAAACTGATCGAGAATCCACGAAAACGCAAACCAGACTTCGCAAATAACCGAAATAAGCCACAGCCACCACGCTCCGTCGACAGGATTCAGGCACCGCCAGCGAAGGAAGAAAACGAGCACCGCCAGGCGAATCACGATAACCAGACGGTACGGGCTGATGAGCGATGACGGATAGTGAACCTTGCGCGACAGAGGCTGACGAGATTCGTCCATGGACGGGAGATCGCCTTCGGCAGTGGCGCCTGCGGAAACTTCCTCTGCGCCGTTGCCGTCGCCGACCACCATGCGACCCTGCTGCTGCTTCCACGACTCCACGCGATCCTTCCAGACGACGCTGCCGTAGCCGTAGCTGGGGGCACGGAGCTCCACTGCAGACATACGCGAAAGTATGTCATCCTAGTTAGATGTAAACTGTAACGGAGGGTATCAATGTATACGTTCTGCATTACGAACGCTGCCGTATGCGAAATTATTCAGCGTCTCGGTTTCAACTTACTGGCCATGTCGTTGGCGCTCGGCGTCTGGCTGGGCGTACGGCTGGGCGTGCGCTCGTACTTGTTGTAATCCGAGGGCGGCGGAATCGTACCAGCCGGCACCATAGCGCCCGGGTTGTACTCCGTTGCGACCGACTGGTCGGGGTTGACCTGGTTGGACGTCAGCATCGGGTACTGCGACGACGCCTGCGCGTTGTGCGACACGTACGACGCGTACGACGTCGTAGGGACGTCCAGCGATGCGCCGGCCCTGTCGCCTCCGCGGTCGCTCCTCGCCTCTTCGTCGTCTTCGTCGTCATCATCTTCGTCAATGCGTGGGCTCCCTGTGTAGACGTGCCGTGAGAATAGAGGCTTCAATTTCAGAAACAAAACGCAACCTGTCGTCTTGATTGCATGGGCTTCCGGTGTGAAAGCTGCATGGAAAGACGAAGCTAGACAAAGCGCAAGACTACGTCGTTCACACGACACGTCTGCACATTCTCGCACGGAATCGCTAGTAACACATACCCTTGTAGCGCTTGTAAAACGTCTTGCACTGCGGGCACGCGCGGCTGCCCTCCTTGCGCTCGTAGTCGTAGCAGGGGCGGCACACGGGGTACGCGCACTCGTGGCACGCCACGAAGATGCCGCCCTCCACGAATTGACCCACATCGTCGCCGCAGATCTGGCAGATGATCGGATTGAACGTCGGGTTGTGCGACTGCGGGTCAAGCCAAAAAGGGAGAGAAGGGCAACGGAAAAACAGTAAGGTCGTTAGGAAATCGCGGTCAATGTCAATATGTAATTCATTCCGCGGGTGCGGAGGGGACATGAATTCAGCAGCATTTCAAAACGAGTATCGGGGAGGGTGCGGATAAGTGCATGAATGAATGTTATTGACGAGGAATGCGGGCAGACTGCGGTAACAAAGGCTCGTCTCCATTCTGACACGGTTCGTAAATTGGTAACGGCCCTTTCGATAGCCGCGAGCTCGGTCGAGTGATAAATTCCAGACGACCCGAGAGAAAGTAGTAAAGTAGAACGGATGGATAAATTACCACTTGGGAATCCTTGCGGATAACAACTAAGTGGTTCCGGTTGTGGCTGCCCGCCACTAGGCCCGTGTTGTGCTCCATAGCGGCCTCCCAGTTCAAACGCGCAGGGGGCGCCTCCTGTCTACCACTTTAGGAATGCTCAATCGACCGAGCCTATTCACGATGTCACCTACAAGCGCTACGATGTCAGAAGCTTCTAGCAGCTTTTTGCCGCCTCACTGGGAGAATGATGGAATGTGTTCACATTATAAGAAAAGGAGGCTGTTGGGATAGGAAGTGAGACAGTAGTGTGTGAGTGGGAGGTTGACAAGGGTAGGTCGGGGCTTGGCTGGATTGACGGGGGGGGCACAGTCGCGCAAAGCTAGGGGCGACTGGGCGATTCAGAATTTCGTACAAGCGGATGGGGTAGTTTGGCGTGGGGAGAGGAAAAACCGCATTGAATCACAATTCGAATGGAGAAAATTGGAGATGCGACTCGGGACAGCCAAAGCGCAGTTGGGCTGCTTGACAAGTAGGACGCATCGGGGCTGGGATGACGAATCAGCGCGAGCTCTTGACTCCGCATCGTGCGGTGGAGAGGGTCGCGTGGACGACCATGCGATCAAGGGTTATGGCGTCCCGGTCGCAGGGCATTCGCTGCGGCCAGGGACAAATGGCACAAGCCTAGCCTGGTCAAGGGTTGATGCGACATCTTGGGAGGGCACAACTGTCGCTACGCGACTCATACGACGCGCGAAGATGTAAGAACCAATGAGTCTGCCAGATGGGAACTCTGATTGGACAGTGACAATGGCTGGTGTATCGGAACACCTTTCTTATCGAATGGGTTTGCACAAACGAGGGGGCGGTGCGCTGGAGCGATGTGGTCGTCACTAGGCTATTTCTTATTCAGTCACAAAGTCCTTCGAAAGTGTGCTTACTCCCAGACCATGCAAGCATACATTAATTTTTGCTTAGTGTACGTATACTTTCGGCCTACACATACTTTATTCGATTGTTGTTATGCATACACTCAGTCAATTTGTTTGTCCTTTTTCGTTTTACAGCAATTAAGCATGTCATTCTCTGTCTAGCAGAAATATACGCTGCTCTGACATACATCAGAAAAGCACAACGCTTGTTACATCATCATTTGGTACACCACAAAACTACCCTCATATTCCACATTAGTTACCCTCGTCATCCCTCAGTCATACGTCTGCCTCAACTGCATCTCTGTCTCACTCTTCCACGTGGCATGCGACGATTGGCCCTTCATTCGCTTCGATTTCTCCTTGTCCTTGACTTTACTATCCCCTTCCCGTTTCTTTGCTTTCTCTCTGCCCGCTGCCACATCAGCATCTCCTGCTGGCCTATCGCGGCAGATCGGGCAGACCACACCCTGCCCTGAGGAAGGAGTTTTGGGAACCTGACACGTCGGGCAAATCCTGCAAATGTTTGTGACATTCGGGCAGAGTCAAAGGGAGAAAAAAGTCGAGTTGAAAGGTAGAGAGTAGAGTTTGACATTGAAAACATACATACAAAACAGAAGTGCAGAAACTCAGCATGTATGGTGCCATGCCAATATCCCACTTCCTCAACATCCGGGACTGATGAACCACAGGTCTCGGAGTCATTTTTTTTCATTCTCAATAATGACTCCAACAAAGATCTCTAGAAAACATCCTCTCTCAAACTTCACCACCATATCCACTGGACTCCACCTTTGTGACATTTGAGACTCCACTGGACTTTCCTCAACCCTTTACCCGACCCTTTCTACAACCCTTTTAACAACCCTTTTTACAACCCTTTACCCCACCCTTTTTACAACCCTTTTTACAACCCTTTTTACAACCCTTTTTACAACCCTTTCCCCAACCCTTTTTACAACCCTTTTTACCACACTTTTCCCAACCCTTTTTACAACCCTTTTTACAACCCTTTTCCCAACCCTTTTTACAACCCTTTTTACAACCCTTTTTACAACCCTTTTTACAACCCTTTTTACAACCCTTTTTACAACCCTTTTACAACCCTTTTTACAACCCTTTTTACAACCCTTTTTACAACCCTTTTTACAACCCTTTTGCAACTCTTTGCACATCTACCCACATGAGCCAATCCACAGCGTCGGCTTTAGGAGGCATTGACACTCCCACTGCCTTTCCACCTTGCTCCTATACAGCCCATCTCCATCTCCCTCCAGATCCCTTGCACCCCTTTGTATCTCTTTGCAACCCCTTCCACCGCATTGAACCTCTACCCACCTGAGCAAATCCACTGCGTCGGCTTTAGGAGGAGGCATTGACACGCCCACTGCCTTTCTGCCACGTGTCGCATCCCCATTCACTGCGTCAGAGCCCTCTGCTTCCTCAACCCCCCCTTCCACAGCATCAGGTTCAGCAGCAGGGGCGTTAGGGTTTCTCACAGGTGCTGCTACAATCTCCCGCACTGGAAGGGGGAGGGGGAGGCAAGGGAATGGGTAAATGGAGGGACATATTGTATCTTGCACTGCAGCAGCTGCAGCAGCAGGGTCAGCAGCAGCAGCAGCAGCAGCAGCAGCCGCAGGGGCGTTTGGGTTTCTCACGGGTGCTGCTACAATCTCCCGTGCTGGAAGGGGGAGGGGGGGAGGCAACGACGGGAGTAGAGGGAGGGAGCAGGAGACAAAGGAGGGTAATAACAAGGAACTGATATGAGCGTTTCCATGCAGGGTCAGCTGCAGGTGCAACATAAGAGCCATCTGCTGCCTCATCCACCCCTTCCCCAGCAGCAGGGTCAGCGTCAGCTTCAGCAGCAGCAGCAAGGGCGTCTGGGCTTGTCACGGGTGCTGCTACGATCTCCCGTACTGGAATGGGGAGATTCCGCGGCAGGGAGAGAACAGGTGAAGGGAAGGAGCGGTATGCTTTTCCAAAGCAGCAGCAGCAGCTTCAGCAGCAGTAGCAGCAGCAGGGGCGTTTGGGTTTCTCACAGGTGCTGCTACGATCTACCGCACTGGAAGGGGGAGGGGGAGGCAAGGGAATGGGTAAATGGAGGGACTGATTATACTTGCACTGCAGCAGCTGCAGCAGCAGGTCGAGCAACAGGGGCGTTTGGGTCTCTCACGGGTGCTGCTACAATCTCCCGTGCTGGATGTGGGAGCAAGGTGGCAGAGGGAGAACAGGTGAACGGAGCAGTGGCAGCAGAGGCAGGGGGGGATAGCAGCGGGGAAAGCAGCAGCAGCAGCAGCAGCAGCAGGGGCAGGGGCAGGGGCAGCAAGGGCAGCAGGGGCAGCAGCAGCAGCAGCAGGGGCAGCAGCAGCAGCAGCAGCAGCAGCAGCAGCAGCAGCAGCAGCAGCAGCAGCAGCAGCAGCAGCAGCAGCAGCAGCAGCAGCAGCAGCAGCAGCAGCAGCAGCAGCAGCAGCAGCAGCAGCAGCAGGGGCAGCAGGGGCAGCAGAGGCAGCAGGAACAGCAGGGGCGGCGCATGCGTCCAGGACGCAGGACGCGTCTTTCTCAACATAGAGCAGCGGCAGCAGGGGAGTTTGGGTTTCTCACAGGTGCTGCAACGATTTCCCGTGAAAAAAAAGAGGGGAGGGGGATGGAGGCAGAGAGAAGAAGGGTGAAGGAAAGCACATATAAGGGGTCATGCAGTTCATATTGCCACAAGTGACACGTTTCAATTCAACAGAGGTTCATGAACTGACCCCCACCGTCAACGCCCCCTGCCCCCCTCTCTCGGTAGACCACTGCTGCAGGAGGCATGTGGTGGGGAGTCTTTCGGAGTTTCTACAGGGCGTGGGTTCAGAAAGATGGCTTTCAACACAAGTGCACTTTTGAGGCGCCTCAAAAGGTTTCTACAGGGCGTGGGTTCAGAAGGACGGCTTTCAACACAAGTCTTCTAAAAATGATATATAAACTTACCCCCACCGCCGATGCCCCTTCCCGCCTCTCTCTGTACACCACCACTGCAGGAGGCGTGTGGTGTGGTATGAATGCGTGTGGTGTGGTGGTGTGGAGGCGTGTAGTGTGGTGAGGAGGCGTGTGGAGGGTTCTAAGAGTGATTAAAAAACTCACCCCCTCCTCCGACCCCCCCTGCCCGCCTCTCTCGGTACACCACCGCTGCAGGAGCAGCAGCAGCCGCACCCGCGACAGACACAACGCCACGTGGCGCCTCCTCATTGGCCGATCCCATGGCAACGAGCTTGCCGGCGCGGGCTATATGCATGTAGTGGGATAGGGCTGTTGGTGCGAGGAAGGACGGCGGTCCCCCAACCTGAGGGATTACGGAGAAGGGGAATAGGAAGTGGAGGAAAGGAGCGGGTATGGTGGGGGAGAAGTAAGGGGGGAGGCAGCAACTGGTTTGCCGGTGCAAGCTATGTGCATGTGGTGGGATAGGGCGGGCTGTCGGGGCGGGGAAAGATTGGGGTCCCCCAACCTGGGAGAATGCATCGGAGGGGGGAGGACAAGGGGGGGGGGGAACAGCTATTGGTTTGCCGGAGCGAGCTGTGTGCATGTGGTGAGATAGGTCTGTTGGTGCGAGGAAGAGTGATAGGTTGGGAATAATAGGATGAGAATGATAGGTTGGGAATGATAGGTTATTTGCACTTCACGTGCTTACCCAGGAAATCACGTGCTTACCCAGGAAATCACGTGCTTACCCAGGAAATCACGTGCTTACCCAGGGTATCACGTGTTTACCCAGGAGATCACGTGCTTACCCAGGGTATCCAGCAACAAACTAGATTGCGGCTTGCCTGTGCGGCCGTGTACTCACGAACCCCCACCCACCTCCCCAAATCCTAGTTTCCCCCCCGCTTCCTCTCCCTCTTCCCCCTCGCCCCCACACCATTACCGCAGCACCGGCCTAGAAGCTCCAATCACCGCTTCGAACCGGACCGTAATCCCGTGTGTCCTTTCTTACTCCTCCCACCCATTCGCCAACCCCTCCTCCTCCTCCCCATCCCTAATTTCCCCTCCCCTCTTCCCTCCCTCCCCTCCTCTCCTCCACACCATTGCCGCAGCACCGGAATAAGATTACCACGCACCGCTTCGAACGCCGCTGCAGCGGACGGCAATCCCGAGGGTCCTTTCTCCGGCAAAAATCCAGCAGCCGTTCGTCTCACGCCGCCTATTCTACCGGCCGCCAGCGCTCCTCCGGCATTCCTACCGGCCGTCGCCGCTCCTCCCGCGTTTTCCTTCCCGTCGCTATCCTCTCCGTTCCGCGAAGCTTCTTCTGCCTCCGCATCCTCCGCGTCTTCCGATTCGCTGCCTGACGAATCCGACGAATCGCCTCCCTGCACGAAAGCAGCGCTCCTTAACCGCGCTTCGTCCTCGTCGGAATCGTAGCTCTGAACGAGCTGAAGGCTCATGGCAGCGAGACTCTTACTCCTTACTACTCCTGCTAATTCCTACTAATTCCTACTAACTCCTGCTCCTACTAATTCCTACTAACTCCTGCTTACTCCTACTAGCTCGTACTGATTCCCTTCGTGTCTGTATCCTTCTTCCTCGGATTATGTTCCTCCGTCAGAAACACCAAACACTAAACAACGGAGTGTTGGATATTAAATCCCTGCACTCTTGACTCTACGGAATCAGCAAGAGTGATCAAGTGTGGTTCCTGGCTCAAAATTGTTTGTTCTAGATTCGTTCTACAAGTTGATGCTCGTGCCCACTCGTCTAGCACGTTGCTCCCCCAAAACCGCGCACAAACGTGACGGACCGTAATAAACCACGTCAAACGAACCGGGAAGAAATAGGTGTGACTCGCCCTAAGGATACCCTTCAATGAGCTGTTCATTTGCTGCAAAACGGTTCATTTACAGATCCAAACAATTGTAATTAGATCTTGCCAACGGTTGGTCTTTGCTCCTGCCCGTCCTCCGTCTATCGGGGTTGCTCCTTCCCTTGGCAATTGTAGATATAACCAAGAATCGTAGTGGATAGGATAAGGCTAGCCTAGTTGTGAGGAAGACAGTGAAGTCTTGTAATGACATTTGAAAGAGAACAATATGATAAAGATAGGATTACAAAGGGTCTCTAAATAGCATTCCTAGCTAGCCATGTACTCTGAGGGGTACATTCCCTTATTAACTGCTTTGCATTGCTACATTAACTACGACTATTTGTCAAAAATATATGATATAGCCTGTGTAGGCTGTAGTGGGGTAGACATTATGGGGTACAGCTTTTCTAGGTTTTCCTACTTGTACCCATCCCCTTTCTAGTTGACATCATTCCTCGTACTTTTCTCACATGGTATAGAGCGGGTTCCCTAGTGGGATTGTTTTTTTTTTAGGGCCCACCACTTCAAAAAAAAAAAATCTGCCCTGCCCGAAGTGCGCTCCTGCCCCTGTCGCGCGCCTCGCGCCTGCCTCACCTGCGCCCCGTGCGCCTACCCTACCGTCGCGGCCCTGCCGTCTCGGCCCTGCCTGAAGCAGTCGCGGCCCTGCCGTCGCGGCCCCTGCCGTCGCGGCCCTGTTTGAAGCCGTCGCGGCCCTGCCCTGCCGTCGCGGCCCTGCCGCCCTGCCATCGCGGCCCTGCCGCCCTGCCGTTGCGGCCCTCCCTGAAGCCGTCGCGGCCCTGCCCTGCTGTCGCGGCCCTGCCGCCCTGCCGTCGCGGCCCTCCCTGAAGCCGTCGCGGCCCTGCCCTCCCGTCGCGGCCCTGCCGCCCTGCCGTCACGGCCCTGCTTGGAGCCGTCGCGGCCCTGCCTGGCGCCGTCGCGGCCCTGCCTGCCGCCGCCGCGGCCCTTCCTACGACCGCAGTCGCGGCCCTGCCTACCGCCGCTGTTGCGGCCCTGCCTACAGCCGCCGTCGTTGCGGCTCTACCATGCGCCCACATCGCCGCCCTGCACTGCCGCCTCGTCGCGGCCCTGCCTGACGCGGCCCTGACCTGCCGGTGCGCCACGACCCTGCCCTTCCAGTTGCGGCCCTACCCCGATCCCGCCCTGGTAAGCGCACCGCCGCACCCGCGCCGCCCTGCCGAGCCGCGCAGCCTTGCCGAGCCGCGCCGCCCTGCCGAGTCGCGCTGCTCCTGCTGCTGCTGCTGCTGCTGCTGCTGCTGCTGCTGCTGCTGCTGCTGCTACTGCTACTGCTACTGCTACTGCTACTGCTACTGCTGTCATGGCTACCCCTAATGTACTTACCTTCGATGCTGAGGGTCGGGCAGTTGATTTAGAGGTCTGGGTCGATGATCTGCAGCTGTTTCTGCAGTGCGATTCTAGGGACGGAGTCTCACTGTTCGATCACACGTCCGGCGTCTCTGTTGCACGTGCTGCCGATGCTGACAGTGCAGTCCGCTCACAGTGGACCACGCATGATGCTGCTGCTCGTCTTGCTGTTCGTAGTCACATGTCGTCTGCTGAGCGCGCGCACTTTAGACCGCTAGGACTCTGTACGACGCTGTTGTTGCGCGCTACTCCTCCCCTGCCACTGCTGCCCTTAGCCGCCTCATGCTGCCGTACCTGTTCCCTGACCTAGCCGCTTTTGCCACAGTCGCTGACCTCATCACGCACCTCCGCTCTAGTGACACCCGCTACCGCGCTGCGCTTCCTGCCGAGTTCTGCGCCGCAACCCCCCCCGTATGTACATCACTCTCTACTACCTCGTCACCCGGCTCCCTGACTCCCTTCGCTCGGTCAGGGACCACTTCCTCTCCCTTTGCCCCACCACGCTCACCGTTGACCTCCTCGAGGAGCGCCTCCTTGCAGCTGAGAAGAGTACAGTCGCTGTAGGAGCCTCTCGTGGTGACCCTCGTGCCCCTTTCTTTGAGGGGTGCTCCGCCGTCCCTCTTTTGCCCTCTGTTACCTCTGCTGCTGCTGTCGACCTCGTTGGCACTGAGTCGGTCGGCGCTGCGTCTGCTCCTAGTGGGAGGCGCCGCAGCGGCAGGAGCAAGGGGGGCAAGGGTGCTGGATGGGATGGCGGGGGCGGCGGTGGTGGCGGTGGAGGCGGCGGAGGGGGTGGTGGTGGAGGTGGGGGTGGTGGCGGGAGTGGGGGCTTCGGTGGCGGTGGTGGAGGTGGAGGCGGCGGAGGCAGCGGCAGTGGGGGTGGAGGTGGCGGCGGCGGCGGCGGCAGTGGGGGTGGCGGCGGCGGTAGTGCTGGTCGGGGTGGCGCTGTGCAGCGGGGAGGCTTTGGCGGTGGCCAGCGCCAGCAGCAGCAGCGCCCTCGTGAGACCCTGTCGCCCCAGCAGCTTCGTGAGTGGTACGCTGGGCGTGGGAGGTCTGGGGGTGCTGGTCCCTGCGCGTACGTTCTCCGCACCGGCGACCGCAGTGATGGCCCGCACGCCACGCTCCGCTGTTTCGGCGGCCTGACTGACTCCTGGCGTGCACAGTTTCCTGACGCCACTGAGATCCCTCGCTGGGGTGATCTGCTCAAGTCGGGGGTTGCTATCTTTGATCTTGATTATGATGCTATCCTTGCTGCTATGTATGCTGTGTCTATTAGTGCTGAGGGTGACTGTTACCTGTGTGTTCCGCCCGACCCGGGCATTGAGGCTGCTGCTCTAGGTGCTAGTGAGTCTGCTGCTCCAGGTGCTGGTGAGGCTGCTCTCTCATGTACCGCGTCGGCTCAGGTCTTGCACACTTTCACCCTTGACTCGGGTGCTTCCCGCTCCTTCTTTCGCGACTGCACCACACTCTCGCCGCTCAGTCGGCCGGTGGCAGTCTCTCTGGCTGACCCCTCTGGGGGTCTGGTCCTTGCACACTCCTCCACGGTCCTGCCGTGTCCGGCGGTCCCGTCTGGCTCTTTGTCTGGCCTCCACCTCCCTTCGTTCTCCACGAACTTGGTGAGTGGAGCTGATCTTCAGGACGCGTGGGTTGACCAGTTCACTCCTGGAGGTCAGCGGGTGACCCGCTGTTCGTATACTCGGACGTGCCGGCACCTGGCCACGTTCACCCGTCAGCCTGGGTCGAGCCTGTACACCTTGACTACCGTGTCTCCTCCGGTTGCTGAGTCTGGTCAGGTAGCCGCGTCGGGTCAGGTGTTTGCTGCAGCGTCCCGGTCAGGTCCTGAGTCTGCCCCCTACTTGTGTCACCTCCTGTCTCACCAGACTCTCCTCTGGCACCACCGCCTTGGTCACCCCTCCCTGCCTCGTCTCCGAGGCATGGCCTCCCGTATCCTTGTCACTGGTCTTCCCCGGTCTCTCCCTCCCCTCCCCCCGGGGCCTGCCCCTACCTGCGTTCCTTGAGTCGAGGGGCGGCAGCGCGCCGCTCCTCACTCCTCCGAGTTCCCTCCGACGGAGGCTCCCCTGCAGACTCTTCACATGGACGTGTGGGGCCCAGCCCGCGTCCGTGGACAGGGTCACGAGCGCTACTTTTTGCTGGTCGTTGACGACTACTCGCGTTACACCTCAGTCTTCCCCTTGCGCCGCAAGGGTGAGGTCACTGAGGTGCTGATCGACTGGATCCGCGCTGCTCGTCGTAAGCTCAGTGAGAGTTTCGGCTCGGACCTTCCTGTTCTGCGTCTGCACTCCGACCGAGGTGGAGAGTTTTCCTCCTACCTTCTACGAGCCTTCTGTTGTGCGGAGGGCATCCGCCAGACGTTCACGCTTCCGGCCTCTCCACAGCAAAATGGGATTGCTGAGCGCCGCATTGGCATGGTCATGGACGTCGCTCGTACGTCCATGATTCATGCGGCTTCTCCCCATTTTCTGTGGCCGTTCGCCGTTTAGTACGCTGCGCATCAGCTCAACCTCCAGCCCCGGGTCTCCATGCCGGAGACCACACCTACTCTACGGTGGACGGGGAAGGTTGGCGATGCGTCTGCGTTCCGTGTCTGGGGATCTCGAGCTTTCGTCCGCGACTTGTCTGCGGACAAGCTGTCCTCCTGTGCTGTTCCCTGCGTCTTCCTTGGCTTCCCCCCTGACGCGCCTGGTTGGCAGTTTTACCACCCCACCTCGCGCCGTGTTCTGTCCTCTCAGGACGTCACGTTTGACGAATCGGTTCCTTACTACCGTCTCTTCCCCTACCGCACTGCCCCCCTCCCCCCCCCGCCGCTCTTCCTCGCGTCAGGTCCTCCCCCGGTAGACCCCCTCCCCCCTCAGGGTCCTGCCCGCTCAGGTGTGTCCCAGGTAGACGCAGTCGAGCCTGTCGAGGTAGCTGTTGACTCTGGTGCTGCTAGGGATGCTGAGCCTGCGGGTGCCGGGTCAGGGGGTGCTGAGCCTGAGAGTGCGGAGCCTGGGGGTGCTGGGTCTGGGGGTGCTGCGCATGGGGGTGCTGAGCCTGGGGTTGCTGAGTCTGGGGGTGCGGAGCCTGAGGGTGCTGAGCCTGCGCGTGTGGAGTCTGGAGGTGCTGAGCCTGGAGGTCCTTCGGGTGCTTCATCCCGTCGGGAGCCACTCTCTCCACAGCAGCTACGCGAGTGGTTTGCTCGGCGCT